GCGCTTGTTTAGAAACACTTGCAAATATTATTGCAGCACCAACAACAAAAGCCAAGTTCCAACTGGGGGAGGGTTTAAGTAAGGACAACAGGGCGGATGCGCCATGTGCAGGAGATCCAACAACCATGGAAACAGAACGGCACCTAAACAGTGGCATTAGTATATTGGATCAGCTGGGAAAAAAAGAGCTTCGAAATCAGAGCAAACAGTGGAATCGGAGCGAAAGGAACCCCGAAAGGCTGTAATGGGTTAAGGAGGAGCCGGGAACATCGTGCCACGCATTTGAATGGCATCATTAGGGAGAAAGTTTTCGAAGTGCTTGGGCGTACTCGCAGTACAGACGAAATTACGAGACGGGGGCCAGGAAAAGTTGGAAATTAATTACCATGGAGCTGCGAGCATGTCCTCCTGTTTTATGGAGATTACTGGATCGACAAATGGCAGGCTAACCTGAGCAACAGCAGGAACAGGTGCTAATTAAAAATGTTGTTGTCGCCCCATTAAAGAAATTTGTAAATCAACCCGGAAACGACGCGCTCAGCATGGGAGCAAGTCAAGCTCCGCGGGGGGAAATCCTTCGAAAAGGGGAGCCAGCTATCTATGGGTCTATGGAGGATGACTCCCCCGTTAAAGTTGGCGACACGTACTCCCTTAATGGATTTACCACTGCTGTTCTATTTGATTAAAACGCATTATTTACATTTGTGACAAAACATGGGGGGATGGTAAAACAAATTGGAGAATGTAAGAGAACGGTTAATGGGAGTTATGGTAAGGTAGTGATTCCAAGGACTCAAGCCGCAGAACAAAAGCCAAGGAGCAAAGGTTGACAAATTATCCAACGGTCAGTTGTTGGTTTTTCAAGCTTGTTTCTGAATTTCCATCTCGCAAGTGAAGGGGAAAACTCCGGCGGAAGCTGTTGTCTGGCATACACTATTGATTGCATCCTGTCAGCCGCAGGATATTCAAGCGGAAGCCATGCGAGGGGGGGGGATTGTATTTAGGCCACACAATCGGACATCGGCTGTAGTTTTTGCCTCCGGCGGGATGCCGCGGTTTTCGCACTGAACTGTAGGCGGAACATTAGAGATGCCCCTCTGATTTTATTTGCGGTCAAGTGGATGTGTGTGTGCCAGCAATAACAGCTGGCCTTAATCGCTCCACCCGGTGAATTGGTAATTGGGTGGTTCGCTGACTCGGTGGACTGCACTTAATGCCCCACTGTCAACGCTAATGGCGCAATCGAGCGGCCATGATTAGCAAACAGTAATTGAAGACAAGGGCTTCCCATAAAAGGACTGGCGATAACTGGGTCAGTGTGCTCGACCGAACTGAAGGATTTTGATCCGGCCAATGTTTGATAGGCTCTCCATTGAAACGTCAATTAGAGCAGTGGGCGGAAATGCGGTAGGCTTCTATAACGCCGATCCAATGCGAATAAATTGCTTCATTCAAATATAATTGGCATGAAATCGATAGTCCAAATTCACCTTGCTGGCTTTTGATCCGAACTATTTCTGTTGGTCAATGCAATTTTGATTCTATATAAATGCATTGAAATAGGATGCTTTTTGATTTATATTGCCTCTTGCCTTTAAAAAAAATGTGTAAATAACTATTTATTTTAGAATTGCTGTTCAATCTAAAAATACAATTTAAAAGCTGACAATTGACAGTATCAAATTATATTGCCCTTCTAATTATTATTATTTCTTTCTTTAGCAGAGTTTTTTTTATTTAATTAATAAATTAAATAAATTAAATCTAATTTCTCAAATTGACTTTAAGCCACTAAAGACATAGAAAAAAGCGAAGTCAAGCAGTGACCTTGATTAAAGCCTTCGTGAGTGGGGAATCCTGTGGGTGTCCTGCCGCACAACGGAAGTTACGGGCGACAAAATTGAAATATAAACGCATGCTGTGCCACGCCTCCGGGTCCCTAAAAGGACTCTGCGCAGCGACACCTGACTAATTTATGTTCATTAAGCAGGCGTTAAGTCGCCTTGAGAGCAGCTGGCAACAACGTGGTGCCTTCATTTGCATACGCTCGGGGGGATGGGTTCGCAAAGGGGTAGGGGGGGGGTTCATGGAAAGGCGGTGGCTGGGGATTCCCGAAAGCTTTGCACACACAGCTGATTACGTTTTACGTGCCGTAATGCCGAGGTGACAAACCAAAATGTGTAGTTCCATGTAATTTCGGAAAGGTTGCCAGGGCACCGGGCAAAAGGGATGGAAGGACGAGTTAGAGATGGGGAAAGAAACCCAAGATTAATATGCAAATTCATGTAAAGCATTAAACGTGAGCAGAGAAACATTTTGTGTGTGCACCCAAGTGAATTTCTCTGCACAGGGAATAAAATTCCAAACAGTAAAAACTATGTTATGTGAATTTTCCTAGGAATGAACCCATTTTGATTTATAGAAACTGGCATGACACAAACATTTTTGTTAATCTTTTCTATACGTTTTGTCAAGTTTTAATTTATGTTAGTAAATTCTAGTAAATATAAATATAACTTACAATTAAATGAATTTGGGAAAACCAATATTTGGGTTTTAGTTAATCACTGTATTTTTTATTAATTAACTCAGAGTTAACTGCAGAGCTTTTCTCCCAGTGCAGGTGGGTGAAAGCAAATTACCGTAAAGCTGGCAAAAGAAAAGACACGAGAAAATCAATTTCCCAACACGAAATTTTCTCCGCTCGCTCTCTAATTTGCGCTTAGTGCGTTTCCGTGTCCTGCAGCTGGCTAAAATGGGCGGAATTAAAGCCAGAAGACTTGGGGGGCGACTGGGGACTCAACCAGCCAGCGGGAAAGTTCGAGGCAGTCGGGACCAACTCTAAGCCAATACCGAAATCCCATCAAAATCTATCAAAGTCGTTTACGCAAATCGCAAGAGCAGAGCAAGCTCTTAATGGAGAAAAGCCAAATCCTCCGATTTCCACTATCTCTTTATCCCCACTCGCTATTCGGTTCTTTCGGTTCGCTCTGTTTCCATCAACATTGCTCGCACCGAAAGCTGAAAATCCAATAAGGGATGAGCTGCTGCCAGCAGACTGGTGAAAGTTTATTAAAAAAACGAAAACACTTCGCACCCAAAGTGGCGCCAACTGACAGCCTAGGTCACAGTCCACAGCCCACCACCCAAATACCCAGCTACACACCACCCAAACAACACACCCACACTACAATGCCCCCAGGATGTCAGGCAGTCAGTCAATTGTAGTTTTCGTGGCTGTTACTCAAAGTTTTAATTACACAGTCGCTGCAAAGGTCCCTCCGGCGGTGGGTGATGGTAGGGAGGGGGAGGGGGGATGGAAGATCCTCCAACAACCGTCTACAAGGCCACTGAAATTCTGGGGCTGTCAATGAAAGTGGGTGGCTTTCTGCTTGCGGCTGGGGCAGGAACATCAGCCCGGTCTTGTCGGTGTCGGCTGCTCCATGCCCCGCTAGATGTTGCCTCGTTGGCCCTTGTTTTTGGCCAGTTTGCGATGTTCTGCATGTGCATCCTGTTAATTCGGCGACAGGGATTTATCATCTTCAAAAGGGTATGTAAGGAGTCACTTTAAGATCATAAAAAAACTTAAATTTAGTAGAGTTATGGCAGTTTAACTTTGATGAATTTGCAATCTCAACTGTCAGTAAGTTAATTATTGTCTTAAATCAAAACCCATTTCTTCCTAAAGATTTTTAGAAAATGGTATAATAATGTCTAACTTACTAATATCAAAGTGTTAACTAGGGTTCTTTAACATTTCCTATCTCATAAAACGAAATTGCCAGTTTTAAGTTAGGTACACATTCCATTAAATTAAATCGCTCTTCATTTCTAGTTATTAAAATATTTTCTAATCTAAAAGCTCTTCGTGACCGCGTCTCAAGTTGAAACAGGAGTATCTTTCCAACCGAACTTTGCTTAAATTTAATTTATTTTCCTAAGCTCATTATGCAGTTTTCCAAACTCTGGCCAAAAAACCCCGTTCACCGCCTGCCCAAAAACTTCGCGCAATGAAAAGTCATTTGCCAGCCATTGGCGTGACGTGCGACATTGGTGGCTGCCAAAATTCTAGGGGAGTACTACGAGGAGAACCAGGGGGAAGTACCAAGAGGAGTACCAGAGGGAGTTCAAGGGGAAGTACCAGAAGGAGTTCCAGGGGGAGTTCCGGGATCCCGAACAGCAGACAAGAGGGGAATGTGTCGCGGTTTGTCAGCTTGGCGCGTCGCCCCGATGATGGAGTGCCGCATTGTTGCATTTTAATTGAAATTTCTTTGTGGACTTGGCGCGACAAAGCAGCAACAACAACCGCTAACGAGTGCACAGAATGATGGCAAATAAAAACGGGCAGAAAAAAGAACAAACAACCGAAAACATGGCGAAACACTGTGCCAATGCCAAAGTGGCAATACATAATAATGAATGAATAAAGCGGGCGGGAACCTCGGTGACATTTTCCCTACAATCCCGTAGGGGTATGTTCAACATATCACTGGTTTTGAATTGGTTTTGTCGTCAAAAGTTCTGTGACCGTGTTCGGTGCAAATAACTTTTTCTGTATAGATAAGCTTTATTATTTTTCTACACCTGTCCGATTTTGTCTGATCCCATTATCATTTAGAACTACTTATTTTAAGCACAATTATTTAAACATACACAAAGGAGATAAGTTGATCGCACGATCAACGTTCAAAGTTTCTGTTATCAAATTTTGTGACGAAAAATGTGTGTACTTTCGGTGCAAGGAAATATTCCTGTATAGATAAGACGGTAAATTATTTTTCACCACCTGGCTGATTTGTTTGATGCCATTATCGTTAAGTATTTCTTTAGTAGCGAATCAATGCTTGATACTGACAACTTGAAAGATTGCCTAATCGTACACTTCCAATGTTATTGACTAATCGTATGAGTAATATCACCAATAGATTTGGTAGACGGTGCTTATCAAATGCTAATTCGCATATAAAGGGCTTCGAAATTTATTAGAGACCATCAATACGATGGTCAACGTAGTCGGAGTAGTTTTTCTCTGTGGGCTTGTCCTCATCAATGCGGCACTTCCAAAGGATGAAGATGTCCTTCCGGAGTTACAGCGAGTCCAGCAACTTAGCGCCTTGGGATTTCAGTTTGCTAAACACTTTCAGGATTCTGAACTAGAAAATGTATTCGTATTGGATTCCCGGTTGCCAACTCAGGATGATCTGCTGTGCCTTAACGATATGACGGCCTTAATGACGGGACTTCGAACTGGTCAATACTGGGCACTGAAAAGTAAGTGATTTAAACCAGAGAAAAGATCGTTTATGGATATCTTTACTTGTTACTTCAGTGATCGATGCCTGGGGTTCAATTCCTTCGGGTCTACTTACCGGCAACTCTTACGATCTGGGAAATTTCGACGAGTGTCTTAATATCAAAAAGGAAGTCAACCAGGGCAGAACTCTTCAAGGGAAGTACTGTTTTCTCTCAGTGTCTCCTGCTAAGATAATGGGAGTGGAGAGTTTGGCCATCGGTAACTTCAATACAGCTACTTGCTTTCCGGCCTCCTGTTCGCCAACACTCATGGAAACGTTTTTGGGTCAAATGATGAAGCAGTTACTCAACGTCAGTATTCCCAGCTCAGCAATGAGTATCAGCGCAGGCAATTGCCAGACCAGTGAAAGTGATCCCTGGGATGGACTCACCATTTTCATGATGTAAGTATATTGATCACTTAATCTAGTCTTTGGCTAAAACTTTCTATTGCAGAGTACTTTTATCGGGAATGGGAGCCCTAGTGGCATTGTTTACTTTGTGGGACTACTTTCTAATCAAAGATCAGGGTAAGTAAACCAAAGATCATAGTTTAAAGGAAATGTAATAACAATTTGTAACCTTCAGACCAGCTTCCTGCCATTGTGAAGGTATTTTCAGCCAGGGCCAATTCTCGAGCTCTTTTTCGAGTTGTGGAAATCAAACCGAATTCCAATGTAATCGACTGCCTTAATGGAATTCGCTGCCTGTCTCTCATTTGGGTGATTACCTGCCATCAATACTCGGCTACTATTATTTCACCAAATATAAATTTGCTTCGTGCTTTTTCCGTAAGTGAGTTTTGACCTTAATGAAAAATATATATAAGAGTTATCATTTTACAGTGGGTCGAATCAGCGTTTGCCAGTTTTATTCTGCATGGCGGTATGTCCGTGGATTCATTTTTCATGATTGGCGGTTTGTTAGTGGCATTGATTCCTTTGCGTTTAATGGATAAGTAAGTCAATGAAACATAAAATCGGTACCTTTGTATTGCTAATATTATTGTTTCACAGGACTAAGGGCAAACTTAATGTACCTATGATGTATCTACATCGCATACTGCGAATTTTACCCCTTATGGCAGTGGCCATCGTTGTCTATATGAAACTAATGCCAATTGTAACAGGTGGACCACTTTTTGCTAGTGGATTCATTGGAAAGGCGGCATGTGAGGCCGGTTGGTATTGGACTCTACTCTTTGTGAATAACTATACAGAAAACACGGTGAGTCTGATTTATTATTAATAAAACATAGTTTATATAGTATTTCCTTTATCTTTAGTGTCTTGCCCACACTTGGTATCTATCGGTGGACATGCAGCTATACATCATCTCTCCGATCCTGCTGATTTCCCTATATAAATGGGGCAAGAAAGCCGCTGCTGGAATTTTCGTCCTTATAATTCTACTTTCCTGCTGTCTCTTTGCCACCATTATGGTCAACAATTACTCAATGCTTGTCACGTATGTCAAATTGTGTAGAATTAATCCCTTAATTTTAATTAAATATTTTTTTTATAGAAATGCTTCTCCCGGTTCCGACGTGGCCTACTATGCCACTCATACACATGCTACACCTTGGCTGATTGGTTTCCTCTTCGGCTACATTCTGCACTTGAACAGGGGAAAGAAGATCCAACTGAGCTGGATGACCGTGTGGTCAGGATGGATCCTTTGTCTGGCCATGATCTTCACCTCGATCTTCGCCCAATACCCGCCGTCCAAGTGGTCCACCTTGGCGGAGGCTTCTTACTATACACTGACCAGAGTGGGCTGGTCATTGGCCCTTTGCTGGGTGGTCTTCGCCTGCTTGCAAGGATACGGAGGACTGGCCAACAGTTTCCTTTCCTCTCCTCTGTGGCAACCTTTATCGAGGCTCTCCTATTCCGTCTTCATATGGCACCAGTTCTTCGTAGAGGCGAACGTCAGAAATACAAGAACAAATACCTACTTCTCGGACTACAGAATTGTAGGTTTCAACAAATTTAATCATTGCCGGAACTTTTACATATTTTATCTATTATATTGCAGATGCTCAATATCTGGTCAACATTTGGATGCACCGTGCTGTTTTCTTATGTGATGTATCTACTCATCGAAGCACCTTTTGGAGGTCTTGATCATTTCCTGAAGCCAAAAAGAAATAACACTCCTGTAGTCAAACAAAAAACGCAGATTGATGATAACGAATCTGGCAATCCAGAAGAGCTTAGAGTAACAACACCAACATCTGCAGCAGAATAAGCTTATAAACTTAAGAATAATTCTAGAATGTAGCTATACGGATTTATATTTTAAATTAAGATTAAGTGCAAGTCACGCACTCGTTTTGATAAGAAAATTGATACATTTAAATTTAATGACAATAAAAACCTGTTTCTTAATTTCGACTTCTCTTTATATGTTTAGGTTTCCATGTATTGATCGCTGATAACATTGTTCCTATGAAAGCACCCAAAAAGGCTGAGTGACATGAGTACTATTTCATAGAAATTGAAATATGGAGATAAATCAAATCTCCTAGAAACAGCGTTTTTCCCCAATAAGTGATTATAAATTCATTCTTTCAGTGACAGAGATATGACGCTTAATCATTTACTGATCGTCACTTGTAGTACTCGACATATTACAGATTACGAAGCACTTAATAAGCAATATCAAGCGTATTCCCTAAAATTGTCCGCCAAGATTAGGCATTTCTGCCCGACAGAAGGCGTTTTTTAATTTATAATTCGCATATAAAATATAATATAATGTTTTTTTATTATACAAGCGGCTAGACTCAATTAGTTTGAGTGCAAAAGAATTAAGTGTACAGTAGGAAAAGTTGTTATTCCATGTGAAGAATGGGGACAAAATATGCTTCTTAAAATATAAAATATAAAAAAAGTGTATTTATAAGGGTATTTCAAGTTCTTTTTAGTTAGTGCAAACAACTTTTTGGGGTCGAGGTTCAAAATCCGTCGCATTTTTGCGGCTCAACGCAAATATAATAATAAATTTTGCATATTGCCGTGGCTATTATTTTTCATAAATGAAACTGTTGTCAATGGCTGGGCCGCAGTCGCTTCCTCCCGATGTCCTTTAATGGTTATTTTTGTTGTTGTCTATGCTTTTGTTGTTGGTGTTTTTATGCGCATCCTGTTTGCCTTTTTGTCACCGTTTATTGTTTTTCCCGGGTAAGAATATAAGGGGGCTGGGCGCTCGCATTGCGGTCACTTTATTGTTTGCCGGATACGTTCCGCCACATTTCGAAAAGTGCCCCCGAAAACAGTAAAGGATGTCGAAGAAGGAGCGGTAGCATGGCGCGATGGAAACCACGTAATTTGCCGTCTGATGAAGATTTACGACATGAAAGCCGCAAAAATAAACGCCAAATACACGAAGGCCACATAAAGCAATCCACCCCCACCACCCCCCACTCGGCTCCGCCACCCACTGAGACCCATGATGGATGGACAGCCGGCTGAACCTGAACCCTATCCGACTTCCTGGCCGCCATTCTCCCCTCGGTCATTTATGTAAATTTGCTAAGAAAATTAAGCCCGAAATGAAGAGATTTGTCTCGGCTTTATTAGCCAAGATGGAGGAGTATAGGAGGCGGAAGTTCATCTAGGAGCCAGCACAGCATTTTTGGCAGGGAAAATGTCCCTCCAGGGTCCTGTAACTAGAGCAGGATACGTTCGTATACACTGCTTTAAAAATGTAACATTAATTTCAGAAAGAACGAGGGAGTTCAACCTAGATGTGCATGCCTAACCTTCATCAACACTTTAACCTTCAACCCAAAAACAACTAAGGGGATAGGTAATAAGTTTTCAATAAAAACAAATTCATTTGAGTCTGACTATTATATTGTATTTTATAAAATAAATTTCCAGATCAAGGATTTTTTTAATTTTTTTCTTACAATATCTTAAACATTTTAAGGTCTTGAAACTCTTTTCTAAGTGTAAGTATTGTGTGCAATTCATGGGCATTAACAAGCCTTCTTGTATGTGTGCCCCAAATGAGTGGGCGTGGTGCATTCCAGACCCGAAAGAAGGGACAAAACAAGAGGGCCACGAACTGAAACACGGATGCAGCATGTCTCATGTTAGTATCTGTTTTTAATGGCAACTCCATTAGATGAGCAGGATCTGCCGCCCACCCAAGGCCGGATAAGAGCACCCGTCCCGCCCCCTCGGCTTATGAATACTCCTCCGATGCGGCGACTGCTTGTCCAATAAATAATTCATGTCTGCCCAGAAGAGCCGCCCCACAGAATCCCCCACCCCATCTCCCCGTATCGCCCACATCCTAATGCGGATGCAGACAGAGGAAACTGGGCATGTTGAATCGGAAACGTAATGCAATTCACAGGGCCAAATGAAGGGCTTAATGCATGTATTCATGGCCTCGATGTTTACCAGAATCGGGATTACAATTCCCCATTGGGGCCAAAGGATGTCGGCCATGGAACCCTAATGGTGAGCTTAAAATTATTCTATTAACAATTTACAAAGGGATTAGCTAAGGGCAAAGGAAGCTGTAATGTTCGATCTTAATTTAACTAATGAGCTTATAATTTTGCATATAATATAATTAGCTCGGTATATCAGATTAATTTCAAAAATAATCTGACTAAAATCAATCTTTAGATAGAATATGTAATTTTGATATTTTGATAATCGTAAACTATAATGAAAAGTCATTAAAGGAGTTCAATACATAAAGAATCTTTTATAGACTTATAAAAAACCAACTAATTTAAGTATCAAACATCCAATTATTAGAATTTTAATTTCAACAATGATTTTTGGCTTACTACGAATTAATAAAATGCAGATTTAATGAAAAGCAAATGTAGTAATAACTTTTTTGGAAATCTATTTTTATCCTGGGTAAAATAGTGTAATATAATAATACTAGCCTAGAGGCAAAATATGGATTTTGGTTTGGTTGGGTGTGAGCTCGCTGTAGTGACGAGGCCAGCTTTTAATTATCACACGGCAACATGATGGCCTATCTACATTACAGGAGACATAAATCTAAGATTAGCTAGGATTTGGCATTGAGTGGAGTTGAGTGCCGCCCATAAATTCAGTGAGGTGACCCGCAGAACTATTGCAGCTTGAGGAGTACGTGGCCGGCGTGACGTTTGTACAGCACCAGCGACATGTTGACCAAAAAAGGGGCGGCCAGCCAAAAGAGCCGTGTGCCGATTCCTGTGTCCTCGCGATTGAAGATCCCGGAGGCGGCACCGCGACCCGTGTTGCAGAAGGACTCCTCGCAGCAGGAGGTGCAGGCATAGAGTTTGGTCCGCTCGCCAATGATGATGCAGCCGGGCTCACAATTGGCGGCACATCTGCGATCCAAGGACCACATCTTGGGCGAACTGGTGGAGTTCTCCGTGCTGGTGGTGTACGAGAACCGCTTGACCTGGAGTTTTGTGGGCTATGGTTAGTGATTCACCAATTTGAAAGCCCAGTCCACTCACCATGCAGATGAACTCCTCGCCATGGCACTTCTTCATCAGAGCGCTGTCGTTCCTGACCGCCACATCCACGCAGGCCTCGCCATCATCCATCGTGTGGCAGGCGTAGCACCACAGCAGATTGACCCTTTCGATGGCCGCCGCCGTGCGATGGATATGCCCGCTGGTCAGCGAGGTGCTGGATCCGGGTCCGGGCGAGCTGGTGCCCGTGACTGGACATTGGATGGGAGACATTATTGATTTTTCCACGCCAAGGTCGCCGAGCTCCTAGGAGCTAAAGGACTCACCATTATTCACACAGGCAGTGAAAACGATGGACGAACTGGTCAGCAGGAAATAGAGCAGAGTGACAAAGGGCCGTATCATCCTGCTGGCCACCCGATTCGTTGGCTAATCTACCGTGGCCCGAGATTCTCTTGTTTACGTGCTCCACATTCCGCAGACCCCACTGCTCTCCAACTCGCGCTTTAACCCCGAATGTCAGATAAAGTGCCACACAAGCGGAGAACATGCGCAGTGGATACCTATCAACAGTCGAGATACAAACCAGGGTTTTCAAAAATAATACTATATATTCTGTAAAATATTTGGTATTTTTTAAAAAGACATTTTTTGAATTTTTCATCATTGAAATAAATCAGAAGTATGGATCTCAATTATAATTATTTAATTTAACTTAGCATTCAATATTATTGACAACATTTTTTTCTTGCATTTACTAAATAAAAGGCTTAATTATGTAATTTTAATTGCAGTGGCCGATCTACAGAGTTCCCTATTCTGAATGTACTTTTTTGAATATAGCTCTCGGACAAAAACTTCTGAATAGTAATATTATTAACTATTTTAAAGTATAACCGAGGTTGGAGGGTACAAACAAAATATATATTTAAAGGCTGAACCTAAAAAAGTCGTACATAACTGATAACTGATTTTATAGGCAACTTTTTTAAATTACATATATTGAACATAATATATAATAAATTAGAGACCAATTTGTTTTACCGATCAAATCATTTTAATAAAATCTATTACAGCAGATGGCGAGCAACTGGACAGGACAATTTGGCAATCGTAAAAGCGACTGAGGAGATAACTTAGAAACTGAAAACTAGTAGAGTCGCAGGTACTGCAGCGCCTGGCGACTCTGCATCGGATACAGGTCGCCCACGTTGTACATGAGGTCCACCACGTGGGTGGGTCGCAACATGCGCCAGGGCATGAACTTGAGCGTCTTCTTGTCGCAGTGAACATCCTTCTCCACCTCCAGGGGCAGTGGCACCTCGTTGTACAGCATCCGGCCGTCCACACTGCGCTGCAAGGTGCAGGGCAGACCGATCTGGTCCGCCAATCCCTTGAAGAGGATCGCCCGCTCGAATTGGCAGCCACTGCGCACCATGCCCAGCGGGATGAAGTTAGTGTGCAGCACGTGGCGCAGGTCCTGCAAGTGACAGCGGACCGTATTCCGGCAGCACTCCTCCGTCGAGTTGAGGTCCAGAATCTTGAGATTATCGTTCATGACGGCGAACACCGCCTGGGCAATCAGCTTGCTCCGCTGGGCCACGTTTTCGAAGTCAATGGAGCGACGAATCCGCTCGGGATTCTCAACCAAACCGTGGATCTAAGGGGGTTTCCATTGAGATATTTACCAATCTTGCAGATTAGAGAAACCCACCGCTAGAGTCTGATTGAGGGCCTCCAAGTACTGCGGCAAGTAGAGATCTCCGGGTCGCTTGCAGTAGTCCCAGCTCTGATCACCCGGCGAATCCGTGATCGTGTTCAAACACCGCACGGGCACGTCGATCACATCGTTCTCATCAGGCTTGGGACGATCGAAGTTCACCACCAGCACGGCATCCAGTGGCGAACAGTCGTTGCGCAGGATGTCCTGGAAGTTGCGGAAGTCATCGAACTTCCTGCGCGACACATAGAAGTCCTTGCCGGCTGTGATGTCCGTGAAGTTGAGGCAATTGCGGATGGCGAACTTCATCGTGGGGCACTTGGACAGGATGCTCTCGATGGCCGGTCCCCAGGTGGAAACGCAGAAAGCGTGCTTCTGGAACTCCAACAAACTGAGATCGTGAGGAAGTGTTAAACCACTTGTGTACGAGACAACATGCCCTCTCTTACACTTCCAGGATCCCACGATCAATGTAGGCATCTATGAACTCATTGAACCGCGTGGTCTGCAGAATGAAGTTGGTCACTGAGGTCTTGACCAGATTGGACAAGGATTTCAAGGCCCGCTTGATGGAGGAGACTATGTAGTTGGCCAGTAGGGTCTCTCGCACTGGAGCCTCGTCGATCAGAGTGCACAGGCAGCGGAAGATGTTGTTGACCAGGATGGAGTGGGCAAAGGATCGCTAAAACCAGAAGAGTTAAGGATTAGGATATATTCGGCTAATCCCTGGACAATCACCATAAGCAGCTGGGCAATCTGTTCGGTTAGAGAGCTATACTGTCCCAGGATCGTGCGGTATTCCTCGTTCTGCGCCAGACTCTCGATGATCGTCAGCAGCGAGAGGATAAGATCAATGGACAGGGTAGGTTGTCCCTGGGTGATGACGGCTGTGAGAACGGCGGCGATGTCCTGCTCCTGCAGCTTGGCGGCCGTGTCCCGGAAGGCGGCAACCAGCAGACGGGCAATGAGCTCCGCTGCCTGCTCCCGAACCTTAATGGCAACTTCGGGCGACATGAGGATGGTCACCAGCTTACTGATCGCTCCCACATCGTAGGCAGCCACAATGCGACGCAGTGCCTCCGGATACTGGGACATGCGGTGGAGGCCCTGGATCACGAAGGCGGCCGGAGCCGGCTTGTTCTGCATCAGGCAGTTGAGGAACATGTCCGTGATATCGGCCTTGTGCATCCGCGGCAGGAACTGCTCGTACTGAGCCGTCTCCGCGAAGATCGAGATGATAGTGCAGCGCATCTCGAGCGGCATGAGATCCATGTGGCTACGCACCTGCTCCACGACCAGGTCAAAGAGATTCTGCTCGAAGAACAGCTTGGTCATCTTCTCGGAGCGCAGGGCCGTGGCTAGCACCTCGATGATATCGGCGGCCTCCGGTCCGCGGGGATTTTCGCAGAAAGCCTTCACCATTTGCTCCAGCACGAAGAAGCAGCGATGCAGTGGCTCGAAGACACTATCATCACCCGTGTCCGCCAGCAGGGTCTTCAACGTTTTAAGGGCCGCCTTGCGGATCTCCTGGAACTCGTTGGTCACCTCGCAGATAATCCTATCCACCGGAAAGTCCGGCTGGGTGGTGAAGTCCAGCATCTGCTCGGCACTCTGCACCAGCAGCATCCGATGCAGGGCCTCAATCGAGTTGAACACCGTGTCCGGATTCTCGGAGTTGACAAACACCAACTTGAACTTCTCCAGGAACTCGGTGGCCTCCACAATGCCATGAGCCATCTGAGGATCCCTCAGGCACACATTTAGTATGTAAGTCAGGTACTCGATGCAGAAGTCGTCGTTCTCCTTCATGTAGAACCTGCAGGCCAGTTCCAGGATCTGATCCGCCTGCTCTGGTTCAAAGGTGGCCATGTCCACGTTGTCCAGCAGAGCAGTGAGCAGGTACAAAGCAAATCGGCGGATCATCGTGTTCTCGGAGTCGATGAACAGATTCTTCTCCAGGAGCAGCTCCAGCAAGCGATGGGCCCTCAGCTCCAGGACATTCGCATCCTGGCGGCGGGCGAAGTCCGTGATGTGGCTGAAGACGGTCAGCAGGACGCACTCCTCCTTGGAGCTGAGCAGCAGCAGCGCCGTGTCCAGCTTCTTGATCGGCACACTCACCTCGGTGAAGGACTTCTCCTCGGACTTGGTGCGATCCGGATAGGTGGTCTTGGCCTCGTAAACGCGCTTTGAAACGCGCGACATGTTTATGGATCCTCAGGAATTTCTTTTGAGTTTGGCTCTATTAGTAAACACGCCTTTAAATGTACGTAATCATTGTTTAAATGACAATTTTTTAGCAGCTATACACATTTGCTTCATTAAAGAAATATTTCGAACCTACCATTTTTAAAAGCCGATGTTTTAAAAATCCCTATCTTATGTTAATAATATGTAGTTCTTAATTTTTCTACTAAGAAAACAAGTCTAACTTGTAGAATATTGTGCAAGTATACCCAATTTTTTATTTAAACACCAATAGGGCAATTTAAAATGTTCTTTCGAAGTTTCGAGAAGTGGTACAGTCCATACAAAAGGGCTAAAAAGAACTGTTTACAAACTGTCTACTGATTGCGACATCGTATAATTTTCAGTAATCAGTAATAAACAAATAAAGAGCAACTGGATATACCGCTTATCAAAAGATACATTTTCATGTGCTATCTGTTCTTGGCAAACAATTTCATATCTGCCAACTTTATTTTCCTTTCCATTATCGGTATTTTGAAAAAGAAAATTGTGCAGTGCAAACCACCCTTTGCAAAATCCCAATTTCCCTATTAGAAAGCAGAAAGACTATTATTTTTGGGTATAGAGAAATGATATTGTTCAGGGTTGAAAATGTATTGCTATTCTTATAGATAAGCATAGTCTATCTTAATATATATTAAAACATTGCAATTTGAATTTGAGATCTCTCAAAAGAACGACTAAACAAACATTTTGAATATGCTGTGGTATTTTCCAATTTTAAACATTTTCTATAGCAAAGCATATTTTAAAAAAAGGCAAAGTTTGGTAATTGGAAGATACTTAAAAATTATGTAGATCGGGGGTAAAACTCTTTTGGATAATTGTTCAGAACTAATATGAGTTAGCACAAGAACAAAATAAACAAAACATTTTAAATTTGTATTAATATTTCTGTTAAATTTAAAATGGATCGCAGCAATCGATAGGCAAGCGATCTCACTTATCGATCGGCACCCAAAAAATACACTAAAAAATCCGCACGCGTCATTTGAATTTAACAAGCGAACGGGGGTGGAAAGCGGAGAAAGCAATAACGCGACGCTTGTTTGTTTCGCCATAGCTTGGTGCAATTTGAAAATAGTTTTTAACCCGAATTCCTGCATAAACGCGGTTCGAAAATCGGCTGTGGATCAAGATCGCCCTAAAAAGAATATTTAAGTAATGGCCAGACCAAAGGGAAAGGCCAAGCCCAAAACAACGGGCGGCAGGAAGCGAACGGCGGCCACCAAGAAATCCAGTCAAGATGGAGAGAAGGAGAACGAGGATCGGGGCGTGGCGTCCACCTCCACATCCTCCTCCCCTTTTCCGGAGGCCATGTACTCAATAATGCGGCTTGCGGAGCTCAAGGAATCCATGCACAAGCGCTACGTGAAGGAGATGCAGCAACTGTACACAAAGGTAGGTACAGGGTCCTCGTCGTGTGTTTTATCTGGAATTTCCGATTCTAATGCTGTACATCCCGACAGATGGGCCACGACTCATTCCAGCGGGCCTTTGTCAACGTCCTGAAGGCCGTCCTGGAAGCAGAGGAGGGCAATGAGAACGCCACTACGGCACTAAACTTTTGCGCTACCTTCGTGACCACTCCGGATTCGGAGCGCACAGAGCCCATGTTGGGCGAAACCTTCCGTTGGCTTCTCACGGTGAGTGCCTACTGTACTTACTGCTCTACCGAACTGTACCTAATGTAACATTCTGGGTTACACCGCCTTTACAGACCTATTCCAGCAACCCCCACATCCGCTATCGCATATGTTACTTTGTTAATCTCATACTCAAGGAACTGGGGCCCAATGCCGCCTTGGATGACAACCAATGCGATGAAATCCTGGATGGGATGTTGGACCGAGTAAAGGACGTTTCTGCCAGTGTTCGAAAACAGGCCGTGCTGGCCATGCAACGCCTCCAGAATCCAGACAGTCCCAACGACCCCGTCGTCTGCGCCTACCAGTATCATCTGTCTGCCGATCCCTCGCCCAACGTGCGCCAGTGCATCATCACGTGCATGGGCCGTAACTACATCACCATTCCGCACATCCTACAGCGCTTGTGGGACGTGGACGAGAAAGTGCGCCGCCACACGTACGTGAACCTGTGCAACTACCCGGTGCGCTCCTACAAGGTAGCCCAGCGCCTCACCCTGCTGGAGCAGGGACTCAACGACTCCTCGGCCACTGTGCGCAAAACGGTTGTCAACTACATGCTGAAGTCGTGGATCGAGTCGTACCACCAAAACTACATCTCGCTCACAGCCGCTCTCAAGCTGGACTCTAACGAGGAGGAGCTGCTACGCTTCCGCCGCGTAGCTAAGCAAATGCTGAGGGTGATCTTCGAGCAGACGGATCACCAGAAACTAGTGGAACAGCTGCCGTTAAGCGATGACTGCGAGCTACACCGCTGCATTCCCCTCGAATCCCTGACCGTGGAACTGCTAATATACTGGCAGTGTCTCAGCGAGTATCTGGAGACGGAAGCGCCCGAATTGGAGCCAGTGTTGCCGGAACTCAGTGTTTTCTGCAATTATCTGGACAAGTAAGTCGGAAATTTTTTCCTCACCTTAAAAATGTATTTAATGGACTTCGTTTTTTAGATTTTGTCAGTTTCAAAAGCCGGTGATGGACAAGTTCGCCCAAGTAGAGTTTCAGAACATGCTGCTCTCGCTGGTGGAGATTCTGCAGTCTTATGATCTGGGAGACGAGATCGGCCGCGGCAACATGCGCGAGCTGATCTCTTCCCTGCTGAAGGATTGCCTGCTGGACCACAAGATCGTGTGCGTGCTGGTTCGCTGCATTGAGCAACTGATCACCGACCTCAATGATCGGATGCAGTTCTTTATCGAGATCATCTACGAACTGTGCGAGCTAAACAACAAGCAGAACGAGCTGATTCACGACCGCAGTTTGATCAATAAGTTGCTGGACGACTTGGACACGCCGCTGAAGATGAAGATCTCCTCGCTGAAGGTCAAGATCCTTGAAATGGAAGAGCAGGAGGACAATTTTGTGCGCCAGAAGGAGTACATACGGGCGCAGACTGTGAACGATGAGAAAACCGCCGTTACCGAGGAGTACACGGAACTGATTCGCCCGCTGCTGGAGCGGAACGGCGTGCTTGAGATGCCCGCCCGACCGAAGTTGTCCAAGCAGGAACGCGTGCTGAAAGGCCTGTACACCTGCTACTACATGACCGCCTCGCCGCACGTGCACAAGCTGACGCCAAGCCTCTGCCAGCTGTACAAGGACTTCATCTGCCGCTACCTGCCCTCCGCAGAGGTGGACATCTTCGAGTGGGCCATCAAATGCGGCACCACTTACAGCATGTTTTACGAGGCCTACAGCAAAGAGGTGTTCGAGGTGGTGGTGGATCAGTTCTGTAACAACAATATCGTGCGGCTGTGCGAGACTGCGGCCATCTGCATGTTGGAGCTTTTGGATCACTACGGCGTGGACTACTTTAATGATCTGAACCAGACCGGTAGCGCAGTATCGAAGACAAAGCGACGACAGCTTTATACAATGCAAGAAATCTACGACGACGATGATGGCAGCCAATCGCAGAACAACGAGCAGAATACCGACATCATTATGGTGATGGGCCACTACATGGAGCGGGTCCAGAACAAAGGAGTTGGCTTGGCCATCGTTCGCGGGCTTTGCCGCTTAGGGCTCCGCGGTCATTTGGACGATCGCACGGATGTGCTGGAGCAGCTTTTGAAGCGTTACTTCAACCCAAACACCGAGCCCATTATCAGCCAGGTGCTGGGCATGTTCTTCGAAGAGCTGAGACGACTCAACAAGCAGAGCCTCCTGCAGCCATGTTTTCTGCCCACCGTTTGGACCATCATGAACTGCAGCTTTGACTCGCCGCTTAATGGCGTCCAGCCCGAAAACTTGACCAAGTTCTTCCTCGAAATGACAGTGCAGGAGGCCAGCTCGCCCCAAACAAATATACACAACAAAATGGCAATAAGTTTTCTGCAATATATTCAGAACTACTTCACGGAGCGCAAGGAGATGTGCCGCCTACTGGCCAAAGAGCTTACGGCTCTTTCTATAAACGTCCTTAACGGACCAGAAATTAAGGCTGAAATGCTCGAACTGGCGGACAAATTGATAGCTGTAAGTCCTCTTGCTGGATTCACCCAATGAATTTTAGCTTATTTCACTTTTTTTTTTAGAGCGAATTGCCCCCTGGCATGATCAAAAACATTGAGAACTTTAAGCTGGTGGTTAACGGCAGTTTCAATCCGCCTCCCCGACGGAATCCCGTGGAGGGCGAAAGCGATGGGGAGTGTGAAACGTTAACTGTGAGGACTGCAGAATTGGAAACAGCAACGCCCCCACAGACAGAAGCTCCAGCCGCTAATCCCGTAGATTCTGCCAGCGTGCAGACTCCATCTGCTGCCCCAGAAACTCCTGAAAGTGAAACAACCGCAGTGGAAGCCACGCCTACTCCTAAAGCAGCCGAAAAAGCAGCACCAACCCCAGAGCCCATTATAACAACTTATGGCAAAGATAACATTGTCGGGATTCGTTATCTGCGGCGCTCGATGGCCATTAGCCATTCGGATGCAGAGAGCTTATTAGGAACGCAGACGCCCAATCCTGAGGAAAGCACGGAAACTGAGGTGGCCGAGACATCCAAACGCAATTTAAGTCGACCGCAGATGAGGCGACGCCTCGAAATGGCAATGGCCAGGTCTTCCAAAACACCGGAAAAGCAACCCTCTAGTGCGAATGAATCCTCCGATGAGGAGATTTCCGAGAGTCCAACTGTAGCCGAAAAGGTAAGAACTAGGTTTCCCACAACAATGGAAGCTATTAACATTTGTTTTCTGTTTTCAAGTCAAACGATTCCGAGGTAATAGATGCATCGCCCACAGCCGCTTCACCTAGTACCCCTGCTGTTCCGGATGCCAGCCACTTGCGACTTCGTTCGCTGCGCACCAGGAAAGCCGCCGGCACATCCATATCCCAGTCCACTCCCATACCACATAGCAAAGTGAGTACCAGGCGCTTGCGCATGCAGCTCTAGGCACTGCCAAAGGACTCACAAACCATCATGACGCGTACACGCTGTTTAGTTTAAGATCAAAGTTGCAATCCACATTAACAAATCAACAAATGTTTTCAAAACTGAACACAAAATTGTAGTTTCCTTTAAGCTTCTTAGATTTAACGATGCACTTGTCTAGCCTCGCATCCTGGTAAATCCAGTATAAATAGATCAATAATCCTAGTTTGCAATGGGTATGGTATGATTTGATTTTTACAATTTTGTTTTCCTTTTTTTTTTGTATTATCATTAGCGAAAAGTACTTCATCTGGAGACGCCTTTAAGAAACGGAAGAAAAAGAGTGCTAAGACGAACACCGTCCGATCCCAACTCCCGCTCCTTGAGGACCAGTGATTCAACCGCTCTCTCTCCGCCTCGCGACTCTCCGCTGCGGAAGCAGCCATGCCCGGACAACAGGAGCTCCCGGCGGCAGCAGATGACCAAGAACACGAATAGTCCTACGGACAGCACTTCATCAGTTAAGGAAAACCAAGTACCTCCTGTGGTTGTAACTGCACCGGAGTCGGACTCAGAGTCTGAAAGCGAATCTGAATCAGAATCTGAACCAGAACCAAGACGCGCACAGTCCAAAAAGCCGATCAACAAAGCACTAAATGTCATTCGTTCCCTGCCCAGCGCTAGCACCCCCAAAGTGACCACGCGAAACGAAGCACGCGCCCAGCGGATGAGTTCCATGTGCATGACCCGGAAACGAATGTCCCTTGAGATGAATCTCAGTGGCGGCCAGCTGCAAGTGTCCACACCTAAGCGCGTGACGCGGTCTGTGGTCATGAGCATGAGCATAGACGGCAAGCGTACCAGGCGGAAATAGCGTCCACCTGGACTACCCCTCAATTCCAGTTGTGTGTTCTGTGTTCTTTCGTTAGAGTTAAGTTCTGTGGCCGTTTCTCTGTGTAAAATATGTGTAAATTATGTAGTAGTTTCAAGTTTAAATAAATCGTTGAATAATTTAACAGAAATTCGAGTCTGTGTATTTAAAAACCAAAATATATTGAAAGTTTTTTTAATCTGATGGTGTTTAAAATGAAATGTCTAAGAAATAATATGAAAGTGCAAACTTATAACTACTTTCTACGATCAACTCAATAAGTTTAAAAAATAATGCTTTCAATAAGTCATAATCCCAACTCTTCTTTAAGGTAAATATTTCCTTACTCAATATTGTATATAAAAAAGTTTATAATTTATTGAAAATTTCTATAAAGGTATATAAATGTGTATTTTGCTGGTAACTTGCTGGTAACTTGCATGCAGACCAAGCATGCGTGAATAAGTACATGCTGAGATTCGATCGATCCGAATGAAGGAAGCCAATGGCGAGCAGTGATTACGTTAGGTCAGAGTTACTTAATTCCAATGCTTAGCTTACGAATTAGAAACGATAGTTATGAGGTTAAGGCAACGGCGGTCGTTTAAAACAGATCAAGGTGATCAAAAGTAGGTGGCCTTAGAGGAGTATTTAAAGTTTAAGGCCATTCAGTTTGTGGGCCGTGGTGTGAAGATCCCATTCGTGTTGCTGCAGTGCCTCGAAGGATGCCTCCAGGCTGAGACTGAGATTGGACTCGCCGACCAGGTTCTGCAATTTAATGAGCTTGATGGACTTATGGACGTCCCAATTAATAAACTCCAGGGCTCCCAAACAGCGATTGGGCGTACTCTGTGGAATAAACTTAGAATTAGTATGTGGTAAAAACAAAAAATTGGCATGTGACTTATTAGATTTACTTAAGAAGTAATTTCAAAGAAAAAATTCAGTATTAGCCGATCATTTTACTTTTTTGTATTAGATTCTGTTGCTAAATCCGAATCGAAAAAATTTTGTAATTTCAAAAAACGAGTAAAAAAATAATATATTATCGTAATAAAAATATAAAGGTTTGTATCTGCACTTTTATAAGAATTAAATCAAATTCTTAGCAGCAATTGTTAGGTGCTTAATATAAATTTAACTCACATCCTTTCCGAGTACTTTCACCATGATGCGCACTTCATCGGAGTCAACGCCACGTTCGCATCCCCTGGGCTTCTTGTCGGAGAACTCCAGCAAATCCTCGCAGCTCACCGAATTGGAGTCCGCCAGTCGAGCCGCAGTGGCTGCAAAGTATTCGGCTTCAGTTTGCGGCTTGGCAGCAGCACCCCCTGTTTGGCTGCTGCTCGAACTGGTTTCGGCTACAGAGTTCCGATGCATGGCCATGTTGACGGAGGCTCGAACTTTCTTAAACAATGCATTTCCAGCCAACTCATTGTCCGCACTGGAGAAGCGACGACTCACTTCTGGAGCAGGCTCAACCGGAGGCTCCTCATCCTGTTGACTCGCGCTACAGCTGCTGCCTGGCGTGGCCGTCTTCCGGCTGCTCTCAATGTCCAAGTTGCGCAGTTCGTCATCGTTCACATGCAGGCCGGAGATCTGTGTGACCTCGAACTCCGTATCCTTGCCCTTGTTGTAGTGCTCCTTCTGAATGGAGAAGTTGTAGAAGCCATCGGTTACGTCCGGCGACTGCAGGATGCCCTCCTTACTGGAGTCCGCCTCCAGGATGGACTCGAACTGCAGTGAAGCGGTGTCCGTGAGGCCAGCAGCATCCGCAGGAGCCAGTTTGTCTAGGTTCTGGTAGGTGTGACAGGGTTCACTGCCCTCCGCCGGCATGTTTTCGTATTCCCGATCCGAGGGTCGCGATGGGCGACGCATACTGTTTGGCCGGACAGCGTCTACCACTTCGATTGCTCTACTTGTCTGCTGTTGATTATGAGAGGAAAACTCCGGAGTTTTCCCAGCGTCCTCCCCAAAATCTGTCAGCTTGCTAAGGGTGCGCTGCAACCCGTTGGCCGGGATGATCAGAGGATACTTGCGCACATGGCGCTTGGTGCTGGTCTTCACCTGCTTTTTGCCCTCGCGCGGCGGTAGGGGAATGGGATTGGGCGACTCCGGCTCAGGCAACTGCTCCGGCTGCTGTGGCGCCTCCGGGAACTTGTAGCTGGCGTGGGTCATGTAGCTGGGACTCTCGCAGGCCTCCAGCGAATTGGAGTTCTCGTCGTTGTGGCGACTCAATCCGACGGCCAGTTCCGCCTTGCGCACCCGCTGGGCGGCTCCCCGAGTGGGCAACGTCATCGGGCGCTGCGACTTGTGAAGGCTTTGCAGGTCGAACTCGTCGGTGTCCAGGTGGCGGAGCAATGTGGCCGCCGGACTGGCACCGATGTCCAGCAGGGCCTTGCGTTCGATCAGGCTGTTGTAGGCCTCCAGTCCCTCCTTGCCGATCAGCGACTGTGGGACGGGGTAGGAATAAAATGAATGGAAATGAAATTGTACAAAATGAAAATGTTGGGGTACAAAATAATAATAATAAATAAAATGGTGCCAGGAATTAACATGACTATTAATTTAATCGATCTTAAAAACCAGGCCCCAAATTCAAATTCAGAATTAGTTTGTCTTTATTAAATCCCTTTAAATATGCACAACATTTTCTTTGTTTTTGATTACCAATTACTTGTTCGGTTCTTAGAATGCAAACTCTTCGCTTTTCTTTAAATAGTTGTTGCTTAGTTGAATTTAGTTTAGTTTTTAGGGTTTCTTGTATAATACTCGAGTAAATTTTGGTTTTCATTTAGTTTAATGTTCTCTGGGTTGAAACGCTTCAAACGCATAGTTTAGAATATCATGTTCCGTAATGCTTACATTACCGCATACGCCTTTATACTTGTATACATATAATTAGGTTGATTTAGATTTAAGTAGGTGTATATATAATCTGTATATCATATTTTTCAATTTGAGTTTATCCATAAATGCATAGAATGCGAAAATCTTTTAGTAAGTATAATCCATATAATATATTCTTAGTGAGGTTATCAAAAATGTTCGACACTTTGCAGCCGTCGGCAATTCAATTAAAGTTAAATTTTAGTTTTGCTTTCGGTTTCGTTTTGCTTAGTAGGCCAATACTTAACTCTTCAATCTCCAATCTTACAGATACTTAAGGGTTCGACACTCTAGTTGAAGTGAGCTTAAATGCTTCTCTTGGTTTCGGTATCGTTTAACTCGTTTGGTTTCGTTTTTGTTTTTGGTTTCGCTTTAGCTTTGGTTTCATAAAAAATGCAAGCGTCAGGATATGGCACATAATCCGTACGGGATTCTTGCTCCGACGAATGTCTTTTGATGTGGACAAGTTCTGAAGATTGTCAACAGTTTTGTGTGGATGTCTGTCTGTCTGGTTGTTTTCCTGTGTCTGTGTGTGACTTATAATTACCGACGTGAGCTCTAAAGTTTCAGTTCCCACTGGCAATAGGTAATACCCTGTCTAATTGGAGTCCCCTCAATAAGTGTGAGTGTTTGTGTTTGTCGTGTGCCTTGAAATACTGTTTCCGACAACCAAGCTCTTGTTGGGTTTTGTTTAAAAAATTTATTGAACATTTTCTATTCCGTTTGGAAGCCATTATCTTTGTAATATATGTTTGTTGTAGTGAAAAGTTGAAGAAACGTTTTGTATATTGACTTTAGGCTACTGAATAGAGTATTTTTTGTTGTTTGAGAGATGTAGAGAAAATTTCATTCCAATTCCCTTTTTTTGATTTCGATTAAATTTGATGGAATAAGGTTTTTAATTTAAATTCATAACTCTGATTTGATTACATTCGTCATAAAAAGTACGTATGTTTACCTATTCCGGCAATTTTAGTCGAATAAGAAAAAGGAAAAGTAGAGTTGAGCTGATGACAATGAGCAGTTGATGAAATGATGCAATGATTTGGAAGCTGTGCAGCTGATCTGCACATCATTATTATCTGTTCTGAGAGGTCTTCGGTGTTTTCCTATAAGGCACACTCTCATCTCGCTTCAAAAAATTCAAATCCAAAAAATATATTATCTATTCGCTGTAAATACTTCTTCAATTTACTCTTCGACGCCAACCCTCCTCGCTTCTCCCTCACACACAGACAGTAGCACAAACACAACACCGCCCAGCTATCCGGATCCAATTCCCATCTGCCCCTCGCCTCTAATCGGACAACACATTGCCGAACAGTAAATTGAGAACGTATTTCAGCATTTTCCTTAGTTATGGAGCCGGGCTAGGCGGAATTCGAGGCGCCACGAACTCGCGGCGGAACTGGAACTCATCCCCACTCTCGGTGCTGGATGAGGAGGAGCTATCACTGGATCTCCTGGTGGCCACTGCTCCTGCGCCCGCTGAACTGATAATCGTGGCTGTGGATAGCGGCTGCTGCTGGTGCTGTTGCATCTGTCGCCAGTGCATCTCGTGCTGCTTTACCGCCGATGCGTGTATCTTCTCCGGCCAATGGAACTCCGTGGGTCGCTGTGGCTTTGCCATCTTGTTAGTGGGAGCCAGAAGAGAGCCCACCGAAAGCTGGCGCTGCTTCAACTCTTCCGGCGAACTTCCCACGAAATTGGTGGACGTGGGACTCTTTCCCGTGAGTCGACTAATGTCGAATTCATGGAGCGCAGCTCCACCACTCATTGGTCGTTGTATTGGGGGACCGGTAGCTGTCCTGTAGGTGGCTTGGACTGCCGACGAGGCAGCCGAAGAGGATCCCGAGCCGGATCCGGGCAAATCAGCTCCATTCAAAAGATAACTGGGCTTTTGACACGAGCTCAGATAACTCGCATGTGCCATATTGTAATTGTTGCCTGGGCCACGTCCACCAAAATCGTAAATGCGCTCGTCGTACTGGAACTGCTCGTAGCCACCGCCCATCATGCCAGTTCCTCCCCTGTGGAAACTGCGCCGTTGACCTCCAAAATTGTAGTGGGGCGCCGATTTGATGCTCGAATTGGAGCCGTAGATTTGACGAGGGGATATAATGGCCTCTCGCTCGTCATGGCAGGCTGACTGCACCTGGCGATTCATGCCGGCCCGACGACGTCTCCCCAAAGAGGAATTCGAGCTGGCCGCCACTCTGGCCCGAATGTCGCACTCGGAGCGGGCCAAACTGGGCTTGACAGGCTCCTCGCCGCTGGAGGAACTCGAATCCAGGGTCATGGGATTGTAGCTCAACCTCCTTAGAGTGCGTGCTCTGATGGAGCGGGGTTTATACGAGGCGGAGCGACGTGGCAAAGGCGGCTGATGCTCCAGCCTCACCTGCCGCTGGATAACACCCCTTTCCCGCTGCGGCGGCTCCGAGAGAACCGGTGAAATGGGATGGAAACTCTCGTTGAAGGATGTCGAGCGCTGACGATATCCCTTTGATCCCATGTAAACGGACCCACTGCTGGCATTTAATCCCGCTCCAGACTTGATGGGCGAGGCGCTGGCAAGCATCTGCTTGGTCGCCCCATTTCCAAAGCGCTCGTACCCGAGCTCATCCTTTAGACTGGCATAACCACCTGACATGACCACTGGAGGAGCGCTGAACAGGGCCTCGCCCTTGAGCGGGAAATGAAAGCTCTCCTGGGGACTGTAGCTGGACTTCTGGCTGCTGCGTCGCGAAAGCGAAATGTTGGTGTCCCGCGATGCGAATCCCGTGTCCGGAGTGCTCGAGCGCTTGTCCTCCATAGGCTTGGGATCCACCGGAGCAGCGGCGCTCAGCTGGGCCTGGTTGTGCATGTACTGCAGATGCTTGTCCAGGTGACTGGTGGCCGCATTGAAATCGAACATGGTCTGTACACCATTGCTGTAGCTGTAGACCGCCGACTTGAGGCTGCCGGTGGCACTACTGATCCCATCGTCCAGACTGACCAGCTGCGGCAGCTGGTCGTTGAGGATCGTATCATTGGAGTCGCTCTTGTCCAATTCCGTGTACGTGTGCATGAAGTCCAGGTTGAGCGCTTTGAGTGTGTTCTCTATGTCCATAATGTTGTCGTCGATGCTTTTTGGCGGCTGATCCGCCGCCCGCTCTCGCTCCAGATTCAACGGCCTGCTGAGGATCTCACGCGACTTTTGGAACAGGAAGTCGGAGCTCTCCTTGTCGAAGATGGGCACGCGTAGATCAGTGCTGTTTTTGATCTCGCTCAGAGAGCGGAAACGCTGCTCGGATCGATGGAGGAGCAAAACGAGAAAACAACAAAAAAAAAAAATGCCAAACGCAAACACAAAAGGGGAAATGAAAGGGCAACGATGTGGGTGGTGGAAAAAGAGCAGAGTGTAGATAAAACTCAAGGATTAGAATCTATTTCAGAGCCAGAGATCGATGGCGTAGCGCTACTGGGAAATTTAACTGATCTACCCTCTCAAGTTGCTCACCTGTATGTCCGGAATGCTTTGCAGCTCCTCGGTGAAGTTTTTCTTTTTGGAAAAAGGCGAGGCGTTGCCATGGGTGGGAGTGTGGCCGGAACCGCTGGCACCCAGACCACCGGACTTGTCACCACCACCATTGTTACTCAAATGCGGAAACCTGAAGCTGAATTTGCGCTTGGGGCTGTGGATGGCGGGTGTCTGATCAGAGACCAGATCAATCATCGATCTAATAAGGAAAACGATTTAGGTCAACGTATACTCTACAGGTCCGCGACTCTCTCTTTACCTGGCACTAATCTCGTTGGCGATCAAGATGGCATGGTCCAGCATCTTCTCGTCTTTTACAGAAATGGGCTTTAAAGTCCCCGTCGACTTCTTTTTTGAGAGCGTTGGCAGAAGTCCATGGCCATGCTTGTTGCCATTGGTGTCACCACTCTTTCGGCCCAGCTTGGCAGACATTTCCGCAAACTCGTTCTTGCTGTTCACATGATCAAACCCCGGCGATTTGGGGTGGCTGCCGGAAGCCCCTCTAAACGATCCAATCATTGAGTTAATCTCGTCCAGCAGCGAAGGCCCAAAGTCCAGCTTATCGGCCATGATCTCGTCATCTGATATCTCGTGATATTCGTGAGGATCATCCACAATGCTTCGAGAAGTGGGGCGCCAGCTCGCCTCACCCGAATGAATACTCTTTCCATCCACGCCGTAGTTATTGTTCTGCATCCCAAACTCCATCTCATTATCTCCCCGGTTGAGAAAAAAAGGGTTGGTTGACCCGCTGGCGAAGTCGAATGAGCTCTGGCCGTTCGTGGCTATCAGCTTGGGAGTGTGCTCGGCAGATGGAATGAATGTGGGGTTCATAGAGGTGCCCATGGCGCCTTCGCTGCTGGCACCCTCTGGGAAATATCCACTGGCCGTCTGCAGCGAGTCCGGACTCGTGGGCGTCGGCGGCAGTAGAAGAGGTGTTTGCTCAATGTCCTCCGAGGGTTTGTAGGGCGTTACTATTTGCTTGGGCACGTGATTGTACTAAGGAACAGAAATTAGCGATTGGAATAAATTCGACAAGATTGAACTTACATTCTGCGAACTTCCCAGAAAGGCGATATCACCAAAGGTGGCTCCGTCGATTCCGACGTGGCCGGTGTGCTTAAAATCGTTCTGTGGCTTCGAAATCATCTCAGTACGAAGTTTGCGCTTGCTGATCCTGTGGTCACTTACCCGACTAAATGAATCGCGACTGGAGCTGGGCAGGCCCTCGAGGAAGGCCACCGTGTTGGAGGGGTTGAAGTAGCCCGTCTTGCCAGTGCTCAGCACTCCTTTCCAAAAGGGCGTGCCCGTGTTGCGGTCGAGAACACTTATAATATCGCCCTGGCGATACAGGAGATGGTCTTTCTTGGGCTCTGCACAATTCACCACCGCCTTTAACTGCTCCGGCTTCATATCTGGCAGCTGGTCGTAGATCTCACCGAAACGCGGTCGCTTGGCAGCATCATCCTGCCAGCACTTCATCATGAGCGTGTAATACTCGCTGGGACAGCAGTCGGGCTGCTCCAGTCGCTGGTAGTTGGGTGAATCGATGGCCTCGAGGATCTGCAGGCCGGTCAGTGCCGCCCAGGGCTGGAAGCCATACGAGAACATTTCCCACAGGCAGACCCCAAAGGCCCACACATCGGAGGCGTTAGTGAAGCGCAGATAGTTGATGCACTCGGGCGCACACCACGCGATCGGCAGCTTTAAGTTCACATTGAAGTTGGTCTTGTAGTAGTCCTTGCCCACGCCCAGCGCACGGGACAGTCCGAAGTCGGAGATCTTGACCTTGTCCTTGCTGAACACTAGGATATTCCGTGCCGCCAGGTCTCTGTGGATGAGGCGCTTCTGCTCCAGGTATCGCATTCCATTGCAGATCTGCAGGGCGAATTCACAGAGCGTGGGGATTGTGAGAAAGCTGACGCGCAGCCCCGAGTCCTTGAGGCACTCTAGCAGCGAGCGCAGATGAGCCAGCTCGGTGACCAGCATGAGCGAGTCTGTGGCCAGAACGACGCCGTACAGCCGTACAATATTCTCGTGCTCAATGGAATGCATAATGGCCGCCTCCTTGAGGAATTCCATGGGATTCGACTGCATGCGCTCCCGGCAAAGGCATTTGATGGCAACTTGGATCTGTGGGAAAGGGATTAGATTACTTTTGAGGCTGGTAAAAACGGCTACTAAAAATCTTACTCTCTCGCTACCATTGGACCAGACACCCTGCTGGACGATTCCAAACTCGCCAGTGCCCAGCTGCTTGTTCACACTGATGGAGTCCGCCGGAATGATGTGCTTGTTGTTGGGCACTTTGCCCGGCGAACTGGCTCCGTTCTTGGCGGCCAGCGAGGAGCAGGCGGAGGCACCACTGCCATCGAGCGCCACTTGACCTCCGCCGCCGGGCACTTCCTCCCGCTTTACCATTGTCCCGGGCGCCTGCAGCAGACGCTTGATCTTGCTGAGGTAGCTGTGGGGGAAGTGCTTCTCGTAAAACTTTCGCAGCCTCCGGATTTCCGGGCGCGAGAGCCCAATGAAACGTAAATCCTCGTCCGCCGCATACTTGAACTGGGCCGCGTTCGTTATTTTCAATTCGTTTCTGCGGGGGAGCATAAAGTGAGGCGGGTTAGTTGGGTGAGCTGGGTTGGGGGAGCTGCTTCCGCTTTTTGGGTCACTCACTTGACGGCATTGTAGTACTGCTGCAGTTCGGACTCAGTGAGGAATTCGTATAAATCAATTTGTGGATACTCTGGAAACGGTGAATGTACAAAAATAAACACATTAAGATCTTGGGTACATATTATAGATACTATATAAGCGACCGCACAAAAACAAATCTCGGGGGCCCTTATCTTTTATGTGGAGAGCGAAAAGAGGGGAATACCCTAGGCAATAAATAACTTCTTTAACGATCGATCCGCCGACGCAGATGGTTTTTTGAATATGATAAAATAAAACATACACATCTCTTGCATACCCAAAAGTTCCGCTCCCCCACCCCTTCACACATACACACACACTCAGATACGCAGGAGTACGTGAGCACATTGACACAGAATTCCGCTTGCCTTGTTTCATACCGCTTAAACGAGGAGTGAAAAGGGTATACTGTATTGGCGGAATAGGTATGAGGAAGAAATACTTTATCTAGAATCAACAACTAGCATTGATCTATCCTTATTCGCCCAAATAAAGTTCGTAATGAGTATTAAATCTTGGGTATTGATGCCCACTTATCGTAATGTTTGGCCTTGGCACTAACATTTTTATCAGTACAAAAGTAGATATATAGACGATTAGATTGTAATGAAACAAAAATATAAATCCAGAAAACGTTTATATAGATTATATCTTACGGGATATATATATTATATTTCCAGAATACTCTTAACTTTAAGTAAAAACTTGAAATCCTCTGAATTTGATTCAAATGAGGTCTAAAACTCTATTAATCCTTTATCTCGAATCTCAACATCTCAAAAGACTTATTAATTATTCTTTGTAACAAATTAGTGGATATTTTATAGTCGGGTCACTTCACTATAGGAATTAATCTTGTTAGCAATAGGGAAAATTGAATTAATTTTTTTGTTTTATTTTGCATATTTTAAATTTTTATGAATATCCTCGTTTTTGAAGGTAATCCCGCTCCTTAAGATATACTTCCTTTAATTTTATCGAAATAGAAGGTACCTGATAGTCGGTTCACTACACTATATCGTTCTTTCTTGATGTTGCTGCACCCGCATTTGTCATCCGGCTGCAAGGGGCCATTGTTTGTCCTCTCCGGAGTTGACACAGTGGGTGGGCGAGGGGGAGGAGATGGAAGGGGAATTTGGAGTGGGGGGGGTGCGGATGGAACTTGAGCAACAAATGCATGTACACAGATTGCGGGGCTGATAATGTCCCGGGATTGGCGATTACTGAGTCATAGCTCTGGGGCCCCCGATCTATATATTTTCCGGCTCCGCCCCGTTTGGGTGGATCCCGGACGTACTTTCCCACAGGACTTCGCTTGTCCTTGAATATGCAAAATAAAATCGATCGGCCAATACATACACGCACACACACATTCACACACACGCAGGCGGAAGCTTATCGCAACTACGTAGCAGGAAAAGTCTTTTTCTAGACCTATTTCTTTGACTTTTCACCTGTCATCGGCAAGTTCATCGAATTGGCCGCACAATAAGATTATTTTTCACCTTTTAACTGCTGTTTTTCTGTCAAACTTACCCATTTTACTCTCGCGTGTGCGTCTGCATTGTTTTTTGTTTTTTTGCTGCAATTAGTATGACCGTCGCGCGGAGTCGGTTGAATTACCAAGAGCTAGTGTTGAAAAATGGGTGCAACGGTTGGGGAGAATTCAAATTTTCCGTTACTATTTAATTTATTTTTTTATACCATGAATATATATATGATTATTGGAATTTCCGAACTCTTTACACAACTAAAAATAAAAATGTATGGCAGAACTTTAATTTTATTAACAATGAATTAAACGTTTAAACTAACAAATATATCAAAAGCTGTCCAATGCTGGACATTTAAAAATTGAAAAGTAATATTTTCTGCACCAAAAAACAACATTGATAAGAACACACAGCCACTATCAAATTGGTTGACCCCTACAACATCCTATTTTCATATTGTTGCTATGAATCATGAAGTTTTTTGAGAAATCGTTTTTTTAATGCATTTAAAAATAATAAATGTCCACTTTTTTTGGAGTTTACAAAAATGTTTAAATAAAAAAAAGCAGGATATGCTATAGTTTATATATCGTTGCCGCTATTACAAATAAATATATATATCTATAATATTTCATAAACAACATAGAAGTTAACAACATAGAAGTTATGTTGATATTCCAATAATATGCTCAATCGTTCCTAAGGAGCTATATAAAATAATCATTTGATTTTTAAAATATTTAATTTTTATATTAGTTATATTTTCCGAATATTTTTCTATACATTTTCGGCTTTTGGTTTATTAACTATCAACTTGTACTTCTGATACATATGTACTATAGATCTATAAACAAATCCAATTGGTTGATCTGCTGCTGCTTGTTCTTCTGTCTGGAATTGTCGTCGATTTTTAGCTTCGTTTCCAAATTCTGAAAATCCGGACGTACTTCTTCGGGAGCGCGTCCCCTTAGGCATCTAACTGGTGGCCGCGGCATTGCAGTGTATTGTCCCAGGAACAGCAGAAAGACGATCCCAAATATCAGGAAATTCAATGCGTACATTTTGAGTGAAAGAATCGGACTAAATCATTTTTCCTATCAAATATTTTAAAAAGACAACAATTTTCTTATCAACAAGCGAATATATGTATATGTACAGAACTATATATAACGCATATTGCAAAAATCACCAATCTATATAATGATATGCTTAGCAGAAATAAATGCCAATATTTAACAGCATACAATAACACTTCTTTATAATTTCAATTAATAGCATTTATTCATATACATATTGATTACTTTAGATACAAAAAACAATGATCGCATCGAAGCGTGAATAATTATGGTGGCTACTGCTTGCTGATTGGCGCTCAAAACAAACGGAAACTGCTGGGAAAGGCGGTGATCATCATGCGGTTGATGACTGTCCGGATGTGTTCGTGACCCAGGGCACCGTTAATGGCGGCCAGCTCCTCGAAGTGATCGCGGGTGCGCTTCTCCTCGATCAGCTTCACCACGTACTTGTACATACGGCCATAGTGGGCGTTGGCATAGGCGTGCCACAGAGCAAACTGAATGGCTTTGGGGTCGTTGGCGTCCACGAACTTAATTATCTCCGTGTATAGATCATTAATCTCGACCAGGCTATCCTTGATGCTGTCATCCAAAACAGCGAGCTTGGCCAGGGCAATGCCCTTCTTGCTCAGGGCCTCGATGAGATTGTTCTTTTGCTTGTCCATGTTTCTAAAGGAGGTATAGATTTAATTCACATAAGGAATATGTAACCCAATTACCCAACGTACGTCTTTATCTTTGCTGCATCTGATCGAGTATCGTTCTTCAGACCGTAGAACGAGAGCAGTGCCTCGGCATCGGTCTCCTGGATCACCTTATCAGCTAGCTTGACTATGCGCTCCAGGGCGCTGCGCACCTTCTTTTGGTCCTCCTTCTGCTTGTCTGAACCTTCTCCTGCATCCGGGGGAGATGTCTTCTGGGCGTTGGCAAAGGTCAGCGGCAGTTGTGACTTCAACTGAGTGGACTCAATATTTTGAATGAGCAACAGGTTTGCCTGCAGGTGCTTGGGATGGGCATTCACCACCTCGTTGTAGATCTTCTCCGCCATCTCAAGCTCTGAAAGACAATTATTGGTTTAAATCAATTCATTACAAGGTGATGTTGCTATCGTAAACCCACCACATTTGGCAATGTGCGAGCATTGGAAGTCGCGCAAGCTTTCGGCATAATCGTCGGCATTTGTTTTGCCCTTTTTGGGCGAGGCGGGGCTGGCACTGCCATCCACCGGCGGGTCACCCTGGACCGTGACTCCATCTCCTGCCGCGGGATTGTTTACCGAGTTTGCTGCCTGTGGAGTGGCCGGAGCCTTTGGTTTGGCCGAATTGGCAGTAACGGCGGCGGCTGCTGCTGCTGAGGATCCTGCAGAACTAGAACCGTTGCTGGAGCCATTTGTGGGAGCCTTCCTGTCGGCAGGATTGAGGATGTAGTTGAAGGGATGTAGGGCCACGCGACGTCCGGCCTCGTCTTGCGGGAATACTAGATTGCCGCTCAGCCAGGCGCATTGTGCGGGCAGGTTGGCCTTAGTGAGCCGCTCCTGGGCAATAGGTGCTATGTACAGCACTCGGGTGGAGCCTCTCAGCAGAGCATTAACGAACTTGCGACCGCCCACAATGCACTGGTTGTAGTTCTCGTAACAGTCGAGAGAGAGCACATTGGTCAGCTTGAAAGCGGCCACCAGGTTGGCCTCCGAGATCTTCTCCAGTAGTTCGCGCTTCTCGTGGCGAACCTGCAGTCGCACAGTATAGTCACCCTTTTCGAGCTTTGTGAAGAAGGTGTGGGAGTGGGCGTCGCCGGTGGCGACCAGGGCCTTGTTCGCATCGTACAGCATCCACATCTGGGACTCAAACTCTGCCTCGTACAGCAAATCGTTGAAGATCGGTGCGTACAGCGCCACCTCCGCGGGCTTGGCCACGTTCAAACTGAAGACCAGCAGGTTCTGGTACACCTGTCGTCCGTCTGGGATGACGTCTCGAGTGGCACTTAGCGGCGAGATCTTGGCCTCGGTGGGCTTCAGCACCACTGCGGCGTTCTTTAGCTGCAGAAGCGGCTGCACGTCCTCCGAAACCAAGGCCTCGACCTCCAGCTTGTGAATGCCCCTTCCGGCATGCATAACATCTGAAAAATATCAAATTTGTGAGGTTAACACAGATAAAATACATTTCACCAGCTACTTACAGGCATTGGGATTATGGGCTTCAACTCCCCGGAACAGCAGACTGTACTTCAGGTGACTCTGTCCATAGTTGGACCAATACTTTGCAATACACAGCTCCAGAATCTTGCCAGACTGAAACATAATATGTGGTTAAAATCCGTAGGGAAACATAGAAAGCAAGATAATTCGATTTACCCACCTTAACTTTGAAAGCCATGGTGGATTCGTTCTCAGAGCCAACAGCTACGATCTTCATGGTCTCCAGTTTGCGGCAGGATTGCTTGGGAAGCAACTGGTTCGTGTGAACGAAGAACTTGCCAATGTCCTTGCCACGATTGGGATCGGTGATGCGCATGCGCAGCTCTGCAAATCGAGAATAGTAACTTCAATTGTAGACATTTATCGGGGTACCACACATACCCGCCCAAGTGGCGTGTTCTGGCACCAGGATGAAGTCTCTTTGAATGGTGTTTGGCTGGAATTCCACGCTATTGTCCCCCTTTGAAGTCGCTGGTTCAAACACGGGCTTGTTGTGGTCAGACTCCAGCACATGGGGCTGCACCACCGTGACGGGAATCTCGAATAGGGCACCCTTCTGCACACAATCGGTGTCGAAGGCACGAATCCTGCATTGATTTTGATTAAATAGTTTAATAAGAGAAACATTTTAGAATGGAAAACTTCTTACACGGCGCTGTGGACACCTGGCTGGAGGCCAGTTGGATCGATGCGCACCACAATGCTGCGGGTTCCGTAACTGAGATCCAGGAAAGCTCCACATTGAACCCATGTCTGCGATGCAATGAGATTCAGGCGCACATTGAAGTTAAACTTTTCCTTGGGATCTGCAAGGAGGGAAAGATAAGAGCTGCAATGGAGTCACCAATGGCCTCTACTTACCCGTCTCCTTGTCGTTGAAGAAGATTGGCTCAATGTTCACATTATAGTCGATGAAATTGCGCTGCACGCCCTGGCGCAAATGAATGCCCTTGGCCTGGTTGTTGCCGACACGCACGGAGAACCTAAAGGATTAAATTAAATAAAACAAAAATAGTTGAGTACAGCGAAGAATTAAATTTAGTAATTATTCAGCTGCAAAACATTATCATGCCTATTATATGTACATCCCTTATTCATACCACAAACTGACTAACCCAATTTTATCATTTCTCTTGCTCAAATATTTCTGTAATCAAAATGAGTAAGTTCATTGACATTTAGAGCCCGAAAGTCGTGTTTCATATTTCTGATAAACGTTCAATCAGCAAAAGTGAAAAAGTTCTCACTTTACAATTTAAAATTGTTCGTCGCAAAAAAAGATTGCTAAACCAGAAATAATAACCGGTACAATTACTTTGGTTCATGCAAATGATATTTTGATTTTGGCTGTGTATGCATTCTAATTAATTATACCGGTTTATGCAAGCTATTTTCTATTGGCATTACTAATCCCTTGATTTTATTTCTCTGCTGATGGCACCTCTGGCACCTCTATACTAAAACTCACCTCAGCATATTATCCTTGGACTGCCGATGCTCCGTCAAGTGCTCAAAGGCCTTCTCCACATTGAGCAAGCCATGGCCCTGGGCAAAGGGATCCACATATCCTAGTTTGGTGGCAGTGACGCTGAGTGCACGCTTAATACTGTACGGCGAATACTCGATGTTCTGTTGTTTCAGTCCGGAGATGAGCAGCGCCACGGCACCAGCCACATGAGGCGCAGCCATACTGGTACCATTCATTAGCTGCGATTTGCTCATGGTAAACTGCGGCACGGACGCAATGGCTCCGCCTGGAGCGCACACGGTCACGCCCTGCCCGCCGTCGATGCATGGATCGCGCGATGTCCAGGTGTAAACGTTGCCGGGCAGCTTTTCCCGCATCGCATACTCGGCCTCCATCATCTGGGGCGAGACGTAGGCGCCAACGCCGATCAAACTGGGCTGGCTGATGTCCGGTGGGGTGCCCACCGTGCAGAGTGCCGGACCATGATTACCGGCAGAGGCGACCCACACCACGCCGTACTTGTTGACCACCTCGTTCATCAGGTCCCCAATGCGGCTGCAAGAGAAAATATATAGATATTAGGCCTCATTTTACCAAACATTATCGGCAAGGGATGTGTAGCAACTGGAACGTGTCGGAGACAAGAGGATTGGAGTGTGTGAGTTTTCGGATTTCACAAGTCATTTACCTCGACGCACTCATCTTCTTTCTTCTGCGACGCATTTCATCCAACACAGACCCACTAAAAGACATCCACAACTCTGGGATTAGCTGCCGCCAGGCCATTCGCACTTGCTTACCCGGAATTCGACCAGTTGGCGTGCTCGCCGTAGCTCATGTTGATCACGTCGATACGCTTGCCGTCGCGGCACAGCTCCATCACTTTGGTCATGGCCCGGACCAGTGCTGTTCCGGTCTCCATGGAACCCAGTCGACCATCGCCGATGGTCATCGACACGATCTTGGCATTCGGAGCCACGCCATCCACATCCCGGGAGCTGTGGTTTCCGCTGGCTATGGACGAGACGTGGGTGCCGTGGGGCGAGCACATACCCACCACCTCCAGCACGTTGCCCTCGTCATGGACGTTCACGGATATGGAGAGGAAATCGTCCACATTGCGGGTCTCGTACGTCCGCGAGTACTCGCCGATGCGCAGGGCTTGCTCCAGATTTCCCTGCTCCGTGGTGTCAATTATGGTTAGCCAGCCGTTGGCTGTTGGGAAGAGGATGCAGTCGTAGGACGTCTTGATTTCGCTGTACACCTTCTCATAGCTGTTGAGCATCTCCAGCTCAAAGTCCAGGTTCTCCTTGACTATCTTCTTTTCCCAGGGCAGCTTGGAGGCTTCCCCTGTGTTAAGGATTCAGGTTAGTCAGTTGCGGGAGATACAATGGATGACCTTACCTGGATTTTGTGACTCAAACTCTACAATCTTACGACTGGCATTGGCAGTGGCCGTCTTGTGCGGCTTGTCCCAGTGCTTCAGCTTGGCCTGGGCCACGATGTTGTTCCTTATCTTGGAAGGCACCAGATCGCTGAAGCTCTTAAGGCCCACCCGCACCGCCTTGTCCGGGTCCGTGTTCAGGGCCATCATTTCCGGTGTCAATTTAAGTGAGTTGCCGGACAGGCCCTTCAGGTTGCCGCCTTCATCCGGCGTCACTTTCTTCTTCATGTCCACGTCCCCGCATCCGGAGCAGTCATACCGCTCGATCACTTTTACGGTTTTTCCGTCGCATAGCGTCTGGTTGGGAGAAGGGGCAGGAGCAGGTTGTATAATAAGAAAGCGGAAAAAGGAGCATGTGAAAAAAGGTGGAAGTGGAAGGAAAAACATGTCAAAGGCAGAGGAGGTGAAAGAAGGAATGAGGAGCAGGTGGGGAAAACGAGCAGATTGAAGGAGGACCAGGACGGGTAGCTCTATTTGGTGGCCGGCAAAGTCCGTCTGTAAAAAGTGCCAACTCACCTCCAGTCCCGTTGCCCGGGGATCTACGCCGGAATCGAAGATGGCTATGGTGACGTCGCGACCGTCGTACTCCGGATACTTCTGCAGGAAGTTCAGCACTCCCGTTTCCGCCTTGGGCACCAGGGCGCCCGTGGGAAAAGTTTCGACAATTCCGCTTGTGGCCATGTTTCGCTCGGAACTCTGTGCGAATTCCTTGGTTGCTGTTCAATGGAGAATTGGTAGGACCGAGACTTGAGTGCAAAAATATACCGGCAAAATACCGAACAAAATCGTTGGTCACACAAATTTTATTTAACACTGAAATATTTAATTGGGGAAACTGCTAATGGCTATCTAATAGTAAACCTTATTTATTTATTTTTCTGTTTAAATACTACATTATTTTTTGGTTTTTAAAATTATGGAATTAAAAATATAAAAGTGTAAAAAAATGTAACTAGTACATAAGGAGTTTTATATATAATCCTTTAGATAAAATAAACCTTAATAAAAACTTAGTCACTCAAAAAGAATATTTTAATTTGTGTTTTAGAGTTGAATGATGCTTAGCCGGCTACTGAATAAACTTATTTTTAATAAAGAAAAAACATTTTGTTTTGCAAATATTTTTAAGTTTGGGATGGTACAAAATCTGTTTTAAAAATGTTTGTTTTACTTTTTGCCAATTGTAGCACAAATTATTGTATATGCATTCCTTTTAAATAAATTATATTTATTGTGAAAACCTTACGCCTAAAAATAACTTTGCAAAATGTTTTAGTTTGGGATAGTATTATTTGAAAATATTATTATTATTTATATTTGAAAAATTTTGTTTTTGCCAATTGGACACTCTTGGTAAATAAATACAAACAAATTATTTCAAAACTCATTCTAATAGAAAATAGAAGAAAACATTAATTTTAATAAAAATCAATATATGGTTCTTATGCGTCGTAAAAAATCGGTCAAATATATAATAAAATGTTTTACTGAATTTATTTGAATCAACGTAGCAGAGTGATTCCCTGTGACTGTTAGTTTGCTATCGTTTTTGTGACATCTCTAATCCAATTTCCCTGTTTAGTATATTTTTTAGGGCTCCGCTGTATATTCTAACGGTCTAGGGGCGGTCACACCTGGTGTCATATTGTGAAAAATATCATAACAAAAACCAATTCCCCGACAATATGTGGTTCGAAATCCTACCTGGCGCCGTGATCATCACCACGCTCCTGTCGGTACCCATATACGCCATGTACGGCCTGCAGAAGCTGACGATCGGCAATGTGAGTTCCAGGGTCGTCTTCCGGCCGAGAAGTCCGAAATTCTTATATAACCGCAGCTGTCGGTGCACCAATCGGAATTTGTTTAACATTATTCAACCACGTACCTGCCGCAAGGAGTCTTATTTGATAAAGGACACTTTCCACGGGATTTCTGATATTTTTCGTTTACTCCGCAGGCTTTCCGGCGCAACATGGACGACCGTTTCGGGCGAGTAATGTACCAGCGCGATTTCCGACTGACCGACAATCCCTACAAGATGAACGTAAGTGATATGCTACAGTCTGGCCTGCGTACAATTAATCTATTGGCCAGCATTGGCGCTTATGCTATCACATTTTTGTGTTTCCCCGGTTTTTGGCCATGGTTTCGTTATCTCATACAGCTATTTTCATAAATATTGATCTTTTTATGGGATTTAGTTATATTTTACTTTATGTTTAGAATTGTATTGATTGCTTTTATATTTTTTCACATTCCATTTATCTATTAATTAAGAAACCTATTTAGATCATAAAATAATATCATATGAACTCACCTGTTATAAAATGGTTTTTTGATTCAAGAATTTGTAATCCTAAAAAACATGCTCGACCTCTGACTTAAAAGATTTTGATGTTAAGTGTTACTATAAACACTCATTATTATTATCAACACTTGTCATTTAAAACCGATTTTCGATTTTCACCCATTCTCTAACACTTATGATTTATGGTTTCATGTTTCAAAATTGTCCATGTTTTTCATATGTAATTTTATCTTATCTGCTTTATCTTATGCCTGTTTTGTATATGATCTTAACGAATAACAGTAGTTCGGGTATGGTTTCTGTTTAATTTTGTTTTAAATGAACATCATAATTGCATGGATTATTTTAGTTTGTTCACCCCATCCATTTGTATATATTTTTAGCATCAATCCATTTTTTCACGTCCATCCTAAGAGTTTAAAGAACAGATATCTTCAATTCAGAATCGTCCTTAATTTCTTGCAGGGTCTGGACGCCATACCGGATGAGAAAACTAATTAATTTGAATTAAGTAAAGTTTTCCGTTTAAGCTTAAGTGCAAAAGTGAATAAACGAAACGTATAGTTGGGAAGTGATAGTTGAATTGGTCGTCTCTGAGTTTCTCCTGTAGTTTTTTTTTACAGAGTTTTTGCCCTGCTCAGGTGTAAAGCTACTTTCTTTTTAGGGACTTGAGCAAATTCCTGATGAAGAAGAGGAAAAGGAACAAATTGAGGAACCTGAAGATCCCGCACTCTTAAAGAAAAGGGAAAAAGAGCGCAAGCAAAAGGAAAAACAAAGGAAGGAGGAGGAAAAGCTCCGGGAGAAACAGCTGAAGGAAGAGGAAAAGCAGAAGAAAATGCAGTAAAAATATACAAATAAACATTTCGGCTGTGAAGTTCCCCGTCAGAATAAAGGACTTTCGACCTTTGCCGCGCATTTAACAACCCTGTTCTCGTGACAGGAAACCACCCCTAAGGGAGAACTACGGGTGGCGAAACATCCCGTCGTCAACATTTTGTGGTATTCGGTGAAAAGGCGTCGTCGAGCAGTGAGCGCGCAAATAAACAAATATTTTACCGGATAATTTTAGTTTTCCACTGTATAAAATCTCTTTAATTCAGGATACTGTCTTCCTAGAATAGTGTTAACCTGTGAAATGGCCAAGTTATTAGGTGCCCGTAAGGATTTCGCTTGAAATCGGTTAAGAAAACTGGGCATATACAGAAAACACAGCCATGGCTGCCCGGAAATGGGTGGGGGTGTTTGAGCGGGTGCTCTGGGGACTGGGGGCCAAAAGGGGAGCCAGCCTGGCTGTCCTGGGGCTGTGCGTGTTTCTCCTAACCAGCGCCACGCACGCGAACTCCCTGAACGCCATCGAGGAGCCCGTCACCCGGCGCCATCACCAGCGGCATCACGAGCGGGAACGGGAACGGGAGGAGAACGGCTACTGCGCTCCCTACAGCGGCAAGGTCTGCAAGGAGTACCTCAACGGCCAGGTGTGGTACAGCTTGGAAGATCCCACCGGCGGCTGGAAGAACGAGCAGGTGACCACGGCTCTGTGGGACGAGCTCATCTCGGATCTTACGGGTCTGTGTCGCGAGGCAGCCGAGGTAATTAAAAAATATACATAACAAAAAGGAAAAGAAAAGATATAGCTTTGCTTCCTTAAAACCCCTATAAAAATTATAATAGTAAACTAATATTACTTACTCCAATCCCCTACAGAAAATGCTTTGCGCCTACGCCTTCCCCAACTGCCATATGGAGGGAGGTCGGGCTGTGAAGGCTCCACTCTGCTTCGAGGACTGCCAGGCCACGCACCTGCAGTTCTGCTACAACGACTGGGTGCTCATCGAGGAGAAGAAGGAGCGCAACATGTTCATCAAGAGCCGGGGACATTTCCGACTGCCCAACTGTTCCGCCTTGCCACACTACAACGCCTCCATGCGGCGACCCAACTGCTCCTACATCGGTCTCACCGAACTCAAGGAGTCAGAAGTGAGCTGTGAGTTCTTATTATCTGAAATAACTTCATGGGGTTTTTATTAATTCTTACTCCTTTTACACCACAGATGACTGTCGCAATGGCAACGGGCGCTTCTACATGGGCACAGCGAACGTGTCCAAGTCCGGCATTCCCTGCCAGCGCTGGGACACTCAGTACCCGCACAAGCACTTCCAGCCTCCCCTGGTCTTTCATCAGCTCCTGGAGGGTGAGAACTACTGCCGAAATGCTGGCGGCGAGGAACCACATCCCTGGTGCTACACTGTGGATGAGTCTGTGCGCTGGCAGCACTGCGATATACCCATGTGTCGTAAGTTCAGATTAGTCCTCGTGTCTGTTTCTTTATCCAACTCCTTTGTTTATTTTTAGCGGATTATGTAGACCCGAATGCCGGCGATTTGAACACTCCCATCAAGATGGAAAAGTTCTTCACGCCCTCGATGATTTTCCTGCTGGCTGGGATTGGTTTTGTGGCCATTGTGGCCCTGCACTTAATAATTCTGCTCGTCTACAAGCTCTCCAAGCACAAGGACTACTCTCAACCGCCAGGAGCAGCCACTGCCGATTGCAGTGTTTCCATGCGAGGCGGAGGAGAATGTGGCGGTAATCTAAACACCAGCAGGGAAACCCTCGGAGGCAATGGGAACACAAACACCTTAGCCAAGTGGGGCACCATCCGGAGCACGGCCACGGTTCACAGCAACTGCGTGGCCCTCACCACGGTGACCAATGTGCCGGATCAGAAGGGCTCCAAACCAAATGCACGCCTGGAGAAGCTGGAATACCCACGTGGGGATATAGTTTATGTGCGATCCCTGGGGCAAGGAGCCTTCGGTCGCGTCTTCCAGGCTAGAGCTCCTGGGCTTGTCCCGGACCAGGAAGACCTGTTGGTGGCCGTGAAAATGCTAAAGGACGACGCCAGTGATCAGATGCAGATGGACTTCGAGCGCGAGGCCTGCCTGCTGGCCGAGTTCGACCATCCCAACATCGTCCGGCTGCTGGGCGTGTGCGCCTTGGGCCGGCCCATGTGCCTGCTGTTCGAGTACATGGCGCCCGGTGATCTCAGCGAATTCCTGCGTGCCTGCTCCCCGTATGCCACTCACCAGGCGCCGGCACGGGATCGCCTGCAGCTGAACGAGCTCCACCTGCTGCAGATGGCCGCCAACATAGCGGCTGGAATGCTGTATCTATCGGAGCGCAAGTTCGTCCACCGTGACTTGGCCACGAGGAATTGCCTGATCAACGAACACATGGCGGTGAAGATCGCCGACTTTGGGCTTTCGCACAAGATCTATCTGCAGGACTACTACAAGGGCGACGAGAACGACTTCATTCCGATCCGCTGGATGCCGCTCGAGAGCATCCTGTACAACAAGTTCTCGCTGGAGTCGGATGTGTGGGCCTACGGCATCTGTCTGTGGGAGGTCTTCTCCTTCGCCCTGCAGCCTTACTTCGGTCTCACCCATGAGGAGGTAATCAAGTACATCAAGGAGGGCAATGTGCTCGGCTGTCCGGACAACACGCCGCTCTCCGTCTACGCGCTGATGCGTCGCTGCTGGAACCGCAAGCCGAGCGAGCGTCCGGGCTTCGCCGAGATCAACCACTGCATTCAGCACAGCATCGCCGAAAGCGAGTGCAAGGCGATGCTTTAGAGGATTGCCGGAGGAGACAATGAAATTAATCCGTGTACCAGAGAACGATCGTCCGCCGTCTTCCGGGGCATCCAATAGAACTTTATATAGACACTTGGGTGGGTGGACAATTCGTAGTAGGAAATGTCATTTTTGGAGTTTTAAAACCACCTTTTTTAACAATTTTATTATTTAACTATATATTTCTTTATAAGGGCTTAAAACCTTAAGTGCTAGCTTTTTTCCTCCTAATTAATTTGTAATTCTCCACAAATGACATTCCTTGGCTACAATTTTTTAATTCTACCCACCTTTATACGTACTCTTTTATACTAACCAATGCATATTGATTTGAATGACGCACAAGGCGAGATCAGAGGGACAACAGGATTGTGATTAAGTTAGTTTAAAGTCCGCTCCATATCTTTAAGCAATCTCTCCAGAACTAAGTCTCTCATTTGATGCTTCCGCACAAAACTCTGTTAACTTAATCCAGACACTATTTTGATATACTTATACCCTCTGGTCTCTTGATCACCAATCGAATAGTCTGCCACAACGAACGAATCAGCAACGTTTCGTATTCATATCTAGTCTGTAGTTTAAGTTTATCTATATGCGCATATGTAGATTGCATTTTAATGGGATTAATTTTTGACTAGACTTAAGCACTGCCATCGCAGCACTCCACAAAAGATCAATGATCACTGGGTGGACAAACAGGAACCAGACACCGGAGACCATCAAAACAATAAGTTATATGAGATATGGAATATTTAGAGAACTGTCTACAGCCCGAATTTCTGGGTAACTTTACATAATCATTGAAACTAAAACAACGTGTTGATTGTAATTTGTATAAATAAACCATCCATAACCGTATCATATCAGCAGTAGTAGTAATTGTAGTAGTAATTATCGTAGTAGCAACGGTTATAGGTCGCCGGATAAGGAACAGGCACGGGAACAACACCTCCGTATCCGACATATCCCGCGTATCCGCCATATCCAGCGTATCCGCCATATCTACCATATCCGTATCCATATGGGCGCCCACCACGAAAACCGCCGGGGGGTCCTCCCCTAAAGCCTCCTCCTCGGCCTGGTCCACCGAATCCTGGACCTCTTCCGCCGAATCCTCCACGTCCTCCTCCGAATCCGCCTCCACGTCCTCCTCCACCGCCTCCTCCTCTGGCCTCCAACATGGGCCACTGGGAGACCAAAAGAATTACGCACAACAAGATCCACAATCGGGACATCTTCTCAAGTACCTTATCGATTCGTTGATCAATCACGACTAAGTTCAGATGACTGGGAAATTCTATTTATTGCAAACTAATTAGAACTCTTACGTTAATTCGCAATGTGAGCATGAGTTCATATATTAACAAGAGAGAACGCTATAGTCGGGTGCCCCGACTATCAGATACCCGTTACTCAGGTATAGGGAGTGCGAGGGAGATGGAGATAGAAACTTTGATCACGCATAACTTTTTAACGAATGGTCCGATTTGAAAAATTTCTTCTACATTTCGATAGGTATTGATAAACACAATAAAACTGCATATTTACTTTTCCGAAATATTTAAATTTTTAAAATCGTATATAAGCGATTGTGGGCGTTAAAGGGGGCGTGGCACCTTTTTGAAACAAACTTGCGCTGCGTGGGAACTCCTAGAATCTGCATGCAAAATGCCAATCTTCTAGCTTTTATAGTTTCCGAGATCTCAGCGTTCATACGGACGGACAGACAGACGGACAGACAGACGGACATGGCTATATCGACTCGGCTAGTGACCCTGATCAAGAATATATATACTTTATAGGGTCGGAAACGCTTCCTTCTACCTGTTACATACTTTTGCACGAATACAATATACCCTTTTACTCTACGAGTAACGGGTATAAAAATCTCCGATCGAGTTATTCTTATTTGTTTCTGTATTTGCGTTATTTTCTCCTCACTCCGCCGATTCACACTCCTCCGATATCACAGCAGCCTAAATGATTAGGCATCAAATGGAATTTGTTCCTTAACCGAATGAACTTAAATATATTGATGGGGGATGAGCCGGAAAAGGCGCCTTTTTACAGCGCCTCTGGGCAGTTTTTGTTTTTGCTGATGATTAGCCTTTCGGGATCCAAGGAGAGTCGTTTCAACACATCATATACTTTGGAGCGGATGTCCACCTCGAAGTCCCGATTACGTCCTAGGATCCAGATCTGATCGGAGTGACCCAAGGAGCCGATGCTGCCGCAGGACCACAGGATGGCAAAGTTATCGTAGTCCGTGTAGAGCACCTGGTACTTTCCAGAGCCTGGGAGCAGTCTGGCAATTACCTCCGGAAATCGGGTGGTAAACTAAAGAAGTAAATAATATAATGACAGTAATTACATTTAAAGTATGTTGATAGTGAATCTTTTTTAAATCATGTCTAGTAAGATGACTAAAATAAATAGGCTTTTATGATTTCTTTGTCGTTAATAAATATCATACCTTAAAATCCATGATGGAAGATCGACTATTTTCCGGCGTCGCATAGCCAATATTAACATTGGGATTGCCAGTTCTAAAAGATACAAAAAAGATACCTATAAGTACGATCATCTTTAAAGAAATTTTATTACCTACATGCGGTTGATGTTTTTGATAGCCACTGCCAACTTAAAATTGGCGAATTTGGATAGTTCCGCCTTGTTATACGGCTCAAACTGAAAGGTGGTGCAGCCAGAGGCAATCTCTGGAAGGTAAAAAGAGCGCTCCACCTCAAACCAATGGCCAAGGACCTGCAGCAGAATAAAATAATTAATCTTTATCAGTATTAGCTCGGATTTAATATAAAGGATACACTGTGCTGTATACGTTTTTATGACACCTTTAACTTTAAGTGTGAAAAACCATTGGGATATAAGTTAAACTTAATTTAATTAATAAAAAGAAAGACGGACTCCTGCCAGACAAGCTAAATTTTAAATTAAATTTTCTACTATTTTATCACGGTAAATTTCTATTATTGTTTCTTCTGATACAATAATAACACAATATAGAGTTCCCTTAAATATATTTTTCAACCACATGACATATGTGACATATGTTTATCCTCTTTTCTTTCCAGTAAAAGCCATTGTCTCTTTGTGTTCAAACTGACTCATAAGAACTCATATGAATTCACCGGCATATGGGCTGCAGCTAGAATTATTGGGAAACCGTAAACGAGAAACCTGAAACCTGAAAAACCTTTCTTGGACTTGGCACGCTTTGTCACCCAGCGTTTCTCTCGGCCAAGAAACACTTAACTGGGTTACTAATGCAGCCCCCTCCCATCCGACCACCACTTAACCCAAACAATGCGTAAAACGTAAACATTTTGGGAACTGGTTTTGGCTGCTGGCCATTGAGAAGAGTCGCACTTTTGGCAGCAGCCCATCTTGCAGTTCAAAGTCGCAGGGCGCCGCATCGGATTTAATTACTGTCGACGACGATCCGAGGTCTTTGCCCCGGGTCAAAAGTGGGCGTTGGGGGCGGGGACGATGTCAAATGGTTTAATTCACGCCTGTCAACAGCTCAATTGGATGATGTGCCACATGGGGAAGTGGTGATGAGGTCGCAAGACCCACATAATGGGAATCACAGATACCTCTCTCAATTATGGTGCATTATCATTTATGCAAATCAAGGCTCAATCAATTTAATTTGAGCGGCTAAAGTGATTGAGCCAATTTTCTAGTCTATGATCTCAACTGTGCCCCTAAACAGTCATTCATAACTGAAAGAAACTATTTAAGTTTCATACAAAATTCCATTTATGGAAATGCCATCCAAATTTTCCACTTGTGGATTAGGAATACTAATAACGTAATAATTTAAGTTTGAATATAGGAATATAATGTAAAGGCTTAATGAAGAAATTAGGTGAAACTACTGAATTAAAAATACCGAATTTCATAAATTAAATTTCACTTTGATTTTACTTTTTTTACTGTTGAAGAGAAAGAATGATCCCATTTATATTTGATAATTTCGTGTTTATTGTAAGTGATGTCAATTAAAAATTCAAGTTAGGAATGTTCGACTGTAGTTAACTTTGTTGTCCTTGGCATGCCCATGTCTCAGCATTGGTACTGGTTGATTTACTTCTTTATAAACTAAGTGGCTTGTTTACCATCAGACAGGCCATAAAGCTTTTGTGCCTCTCGTCTCCTTCTGTAAAACTGGTTTGCATTTTACACGGCGGATCGGATTTGGTGGCCTTAAATTGGTTCAAGTTCATCTTATGCACAATCCACAAAATGAAGAAAGGTCTTCGTTTTCAGACGCCGCCTTGTGCTAATTAATCGAAGATGTGACACGTTTAAGATGATGGCAAATAAATGATGACTTGCGGATTTTACACTGCATCTCAAAGTTGTAAGTTAACTAAATGATTTCTACAGATTAATAATCTATCCATTTTAAGAAGCTGTGTTACGCATAGAATAATTATAATTATTATGAGATCTACAGATTAATAATCTTTCCATCTTAAGAAGCTGTGTTATGCCTAAAATAATTATACTATACGAGTTCATTTGGTTTTAAACTCTGTTCAATAACTTATCTTTTTAATAACAGGTCTGAGGAATTTATTTTTTTAGTATGTTATTCAGTAAGTAAACTTGTTTTGCAAAGTAATTATTTAAATAAATTTTGCTATATATGGTCAAAAGTATTTGCATATTTCTTATGAGTAAGTACGTGTAATTTGTACTTTTGACCACCCCTGTGCATATCGATTTATGAATATTACCAACACGAAGCTTAGTTCTGAATTGCAAATTCCAAGTGATAAAAGTTTAACTTAGTTTTAAAACCCCATCTTTGTCGCCTGCTAAAAATATATATATTTTACTGAAATCTAGCTTGTAAAGTTTCACTAACAATTAATCAATTTCCGGTTCGAGGGGTCAGTTATGAACTTACCCGACTCATGTTGAACTTTGGCATCGATGGGTAATTCGGGCAACGTCCAAATCCGTAGGCACTTGCTCCAGCGAATGTCAGTAATAAGACTCCGGACAAAAGCCAAACACTCGAGACAAGTGACTGTCTGCCCATAATTGTTTATTTGTTGTTAGTTCACTTTGAATATTTGGCACTTAAAGCGGCAGAATTGGCACAACAGCACCTGACTAGACAAGTAGAATTCGAAATCAGGTAATTTTCATTGAACTCGGCCGTATTTACTTGGCTGTGCACAAAGTGATTTCCGATTCGGCGGGTTCACTTGGCCAAAGAACTATGGATCAACATTAACATTTACATTTCCTCAAAGTAACCGCGATCGGTATTGTCCGCTCTGGCCATTGATATTCCGGATGGGAAGTGTGCGATAATGAAAACGTGCTGGCTACCGGCTTTGTGGAGTTGGAATATACCTGGCCAACTGAACTGGCCAAGAAGAAGTGAAAACCACTAACTGGGTTGGCGGCGCTCTTTATTTATTTTTGATATTTATTTTGGTTTTGGCTCGTGCCACCACCGGCCAGCGAGTTACGTAAAAGAAAAGCCAACGTCAAAATGCAGCTTAAAACAGGTTGCTCAACCGATTTTTCGCACACACCCGAAGATATTGCGCATTGCAAAAAGCGGGTAAAAGCGAAAATACCTAATCGAGGAAATACTGGGATGCATATGCATCAATTGTGTCATGGAGTTAGTCGGGTGCATTGCTCGATTTATCTGTGAAAGTATATAAACATAGGCTCGCTCATGCGTATCAAGTTCAAGACAAGTAGGAAGTCGGTTGGTTTTCTTTTCACGACTATTACCGCATTGGGAAAATAACCAATAAATATTTAATGGATAGATAGTGATGTGAAAGGTACTTTTATTTTTAATAGGGTACTGTGTATATCTTAAAAAGTTGGTTCGTTTTGAAACTATCATAAAATCTGGTTGATAGTTACTAAGCATAATAGTTAAGCTAATGTTAAGCTAATGTTAAGCTAGTTTGAAAATTTGTAAAATCCATATCATTAAACCTATCTGTATTTTTTATTTGAAAAGCTGAAATTTTTTTTTTGATTTTCAATTGACTTTATTACAGTTGTAGTATTAGCATATCATTGATTGGAACTAAAATAAAATGTAGATAGTTTTTGCAAACCAAGGTAAATAGTTGGCGGACTTTTGATAAGATAAAAGTTACTGAAAACATGGACCACGGTACACCCAAATAGACAATTCCCATCACTGTCAATAGAAAAAGTGTTAATTTCACAGAAATCGACAGCAACAAGTGGCACAAAATAAGCCAAGGCAATTGCAAAATACTCTTTTTGTCCAGCTGATTTCACTTTGTGCACATACAAGTGCCCGTTTTGTTTTTGCGATTGGGTTTGCTGTGCAAAATGCACTGGCTCTACCGCAGATTTATTTGCAATCTCTTTGTTTACATCGTTTGTTGCTGTGTTCTTTGCTTTCGCGGTTTTTATCTCGCCAACTCGAATCTCGAATTGCGCTTGAAACGCAGATCGCTCACATTGATCTTCCGCTCGCGGCAACCGTTGAAATGAAACTGAATGGTAATTTGAATTGAATTGAATATCAGTTTTCTCCGCCCAGATGGTCACACTATCTGGTGGCTGTTCTGCCTATCGATACTTTTTCGTTGTTATACAAATGCGATTTATTAAATCTAAATTCCTAAAAATTATAAAAACTATATTCTCAAAAATTATTTTTTATTTTTATTATTGTTTTATTTTTTAAATATCTTTTATTAAATTTAATTTACAATATATTGGTAATGATATTTGCCAGTCACAGTAATGCGATCCAACCAAGTTGACCACCTCTACCTGGCAGTGTAATATATCGATAGGACATCGATTGCTGGCAGGGAAATGCCAAAGGCCGTATAATTTTTTTTCGTTTCCTTGTAACTTTCTTGTCGTATGTTGCTTTCGAAATCAAATCGAACCTTTTTTGTTACTAAAATCCGCGACCACAGTCAGTTACTTCCGTAAGTAAGGATTGCAACTGTCGAAATGACCCGTGAGATGGCTCTTTCAAACAACTTTGCCTTTGCCCTTTGTTCCGAGTTCCACTGATTTACACTTTTTCGCCTCGCCACCCGTAGGTAAATATGGATACCGAGAAGTCTAGCAGCAGTTCTTTCGAGGACCTGACCAATGCCGAGGACACCAAGGACATTCGGAAGGTGGCAGCGGAAGAGGCAGCCTCCGGAGATGGCTCAGCCCCGGCGGCTGATCTTGGAGAAGACAAAAGGTCGGCGCAGGAGGATCCCGAGGAGAAGGCGGACATAGAGGAAGAATGTGATATACTGGGCAACAAGCAGCTAATAAAGCGCACCATCAAGAAGGCGCCCGAAGGTGGAGATAGGCGACCGCTACGAGGAGAACTGGTCACCCTGAATTTCACCGGCAAACTGGACAACGGCAAGGTGGTCGAGGAGGAGAAGAACTTCCAGTGCCACGTGGGCGACTATGAGGTCGTTCAGGGACTGGACATGGTGGTGCCCATGCTGCAGGTCGGCGAAGTGGCCCAGGTCAGCGTGGATCCTCGATTTGGCTACGGCTCCATCGGCCTGAAAAAGGACGGCGAATCCGATTACCTGGTTCCACCCGATTCGCATGTAAGTTCGGGGCTTAAAACCATTTAAGAACTACTTAAACAAATTTGAATTTTCCAGCTTACCTACGAAATAGAGCTTTTGGATGTAAAATACGAAGATTTTGCGGACCTTAAGAGCTTTGAAATACTGCGTAAATATGGGTGTGTGATTACTTGCCATCTGTTTGAAGGTTTTTGAATAATTAAAGAAAACTTTTAGCACCCGCAAGAAAGAACGCGCCAACTTCTTTTACAAGCGCTTGGAGTTCACCACCGCCATTCACCTGTACAGACGTGCTCTCGACTTTCTGGACAACCGAGACGGGGATCCAGAGTCCGAGTTCGACAAGGAGGATCTGGAGCTCTCAAACAGTGACACGCAGGCCTTGTTGGAGGATCGGTTAATAGTTTACAATAACCTGGCCATGACTCAAATCAAAATCGCCGCCTTCGACGCTGCCCTGCAGTCTGTAGAGCATGTCCTGCGATGCCAGCCAAACAACTCCAAGGCCTTGTACCGCAAAGGAAGGGTAAGTTGGTAGCCCAAATTGTTAAGATTCTATAAACTAACTCCCTGGATTACCCTGCAGATACTAGAGGGCAAGGCCGACACTCAGGGTGCCATCAAGCTGCTACAAAAGGTGGCTACTCTCGAACCTGACAATCGTGCCGTTCAGTCGGATTTGGCCAGACTCTTCATAAAGGCTCGCCGCGAGGAACACAACGAAAAGGAAATGTATCAAAAGATGCTGGGCCAGGCCAAGAAAATGGAGCAGAAGACTGCCACCAGGCAAAAGCAGCCCCTCGTGGACAACTCCAAGGTAAGATTACTGAAGAAAGTTAACAATAACAATTAATATCCAACTACTTATTTTAGCTAAAGTTGCTGGGCTATCTGATGGGTTCAATATTGATTGGTGTGGCTGGAGTCGCTATTTATCGTTACAAGTACTAAGGACAAGCATTGCACACGAACTACTGGTTACTTTAAGCAATTGAAATGCATTTTTTAAGGATATATATAAAAGGCAAAATTATGAATGTTGGAAAGCCGCAGTTGCTTATTATAACGAAATGGCTCTTGTTGTACATTTAATACTATGCACACTTCACAATAGTATGTATCTTTCAAATGATATGGTTTTGGATATCGTACATATAATGTTAAAGCTTAATTTTAATCAATTACATTCTGTCAGACAAGTACCGGGAATTGTTAAAATAAACACGCTTTTCTCATCATTATTTAACATACTCACCCTTTTTCTTATACTTTAATGTGGTCGCAGACTTTCATAATAGGCCGAAGTTAATTATCTTAAAACACTATCTGTACCCAATCACACCATATTTAAAAGCAAGCTAAAAGTCCTAAAGCATATAAAAGACCATATGGAAGCAATGATTTTGATAAGCAACACTGATTAGAAATCCAATTTTGGAAAAAGTTGAATAAAATGTGTTTCTATTGGATCTATGAATTCTTTTGGGTACCTTCATCAATTAAATATGAACATCTTTAAAACCAATCCTCGTAATCTAAAAGGCTAACGAACTTTGTTATTAATCAAAATCGGAACATCCGCTCTCATGATTTTCTCCTATCGCAACCTAGAATGATTTGTGACACAGCGAAAAGAAATAAGCTGACTCATTGTTTGTATATACTATATAGTAATCGACATGACACTAAATGTTTTCAGAATTTTCAAGGCTGCACCTATGGGGGCAAATCTTCAGAAAGTAGCGTAACTCCCAAAAGAATTTCATCACTTACAAAACTGTCAAGTATGAATTTTTATCAAGATATCAACCGTAAAACCGGTATTACAGCAAGTACAAGCTGTAAAATGTATACAAGATAAGTAATCAGTTCGAAATAATTCCATTTATTTATTGATCTATTCCAGACTCGATTTCTAATAACCAATCATTTTATTTGAGACGAAACACTTTTATTGGGTGGGTAAATATACAAATTCAAATTCCGATCTAACGAAACCCTGAGAGAATACATGTGATGTGAGTGACTTAGGCCTTGGAGGCGATGTCAAGAGCCTGCTCCAGATCCTTGATCAAGTCCTCGGCATCCTCCAGGCCAACGGACAGGCGGACAAGGCCGTCAGTGATGCCCAGGGTCTTCCTGTCCTCCGCCGGAACCGAGGCATGGGTCATCACGGACGGGAGCTCCGCAAGACTCTCGTATCCGCCCAGACTCTCCGCCAGGGTGAACACCTTGAGGGCCTTCAGGAACGCAGAGGAGTGCTTCAGCTCACCCTTAATGTAGAAGGAGAACACGCCGCTGTAGCCGTAGGTCTGCTTCAGTGCGATCTCGTGCTGCGGATGCGAGGGCAAAGAGGGGTGCAGGACCTTCTCCACAAACTGGTGGCTATCTAGGTACTTGGCGATCTTCAGCGCATTCTTTTGGTGCTGCTCCATGCGCAGCGACAGGGTCTTCAAACTCCTGTTCACCTGGTAGCAATCGAATGGCGACGGTACAATGCCCACCGCGTTCTGCAGGAATTTCAAGCTATTGTAGAGCTTCTCGGAGTTCATGGTGATGCCACCCATGACCACATCCGTATGGCCGTTCATGTACTTGGTCAGGGAGTAGCACACCAGATCGGCGCCCAGCTCCAGGGGTCGCTGGAAGTATGAGGTCAGGAAGGTGTTGTCCACGGCCAGGATCAGATCCTCCCGCACGCCATGAACGAGTTTGGCAATCGCCTCGATGTCAGCCACCTTGATCAGCGGATTTGTGGGCGACTCGATCCACACCAGCTTGGTCTCTGGCTTAATGGAAGCTTTAATAACGTCCAGTTTAGTGGGATCCACAAAGGTGGCGGCGATACCCAGGCGGGTGGCAACCTGACGGATCAAACGGTTTGTTCCTCCATAAACATCATCGCCCATGATGATGTGATCGCCGCTGCTCAACATGGTCAACACAGCGGTGGTGGCTCCCAATCCCGACGAGAAGGTCAGGCCGAACTTGGCGTTGTCCAGTGCAGCGAAGCACGTCTCCAGCACTGTCCTGGTGGGATTTCCGCTCCGGGAGTACTCGTAGCCGCGGTGCTCACCCGGAGCATCTTGCTTAAAGGTGGTGCTCAGCGATATCTGGGGGATCACGGAGGCACTCTTCCACTGTTCGGGGCTCTGGCCCGAGTGGATGGACTTGGTGGCGAAGCCGCTCGGCTGGACTCTATAGCTCATCTTGTCTGGGGACGCGGATCGTACGGAACTGACACGTGTAGAGATCGGTGGGCAATATATATACTCCTGCCATATGTTATCGCCTAGCCAGTGCTTGAAAAATCACGATTTAGACCGTTACAACACTGGCGAAGAACTGGAGGTTCTTTCACCGGAAGTGCTGACGTTCTAGCTATTTAACGGATAAAGATACAAAATTCAAAAAAAGAGAAAGTTCTTTAAAACTAACAACAATTTAAACAAGTTGTAGATATAAAACGCAATATACCGGTTTTCTGAGAAAACTCACTAAAAATTAATACTATTCACATTGGTACAGGCTAATATTATCGCGGTGATATCTTTTATTCATAGATAAATTCCATTATACATATAAATTAAATTGGTACAGGTAAATATCATCGTGGTTAATTATAAATTAATTTATTCATTGATAAAGCACATTATGTTGTATATATTACAATCCCAGTTTAAGAATAGATAGGATTCTGACAGAAAGAATCTTGAGGAATGGGTTGGGAAGTGAACTCCAGAGTCTACCACAGTTTGTCGCTGAACACGATCTCCTTGAATATGCAGTCCTGTTTGGCGATACTGACCATGGCCTTCTTCGACTTCATGGCGTCCTGCACCTTTTCGCGCACTTCGGCCGCCTTCACATCGTTGCGGATGTAGAAGAGACGCACCAGATGGTCCTCGTTTAGGGACGGATAGCTGCCCAGCAACGTGTGCAGATCCAGAACCAGGAGCTCAATATCCGAGCTGAGCAGCGCCGATAGCGTGGATATGAGATCTAGTGGAGAGTCGCTCAGGGAAATCTTCGGGGCGATCTTCTCGAAGAAGAGCTTAAACCGCTTGGCCTCCGTTTTGATTTTTCGGGTGATAGCATCGCACTCGGCCCGTGGCTTTGACAGCCGCTTGGAGAGCAGAGCTCGGATGTAGCGCTTGGCCAGCAACTTCTGGGCCTCGTTAATAACCATCTCGAAGTTATTGGGTCGCAGGTGGTTGTAGTCCTGGAAGTAATCGTCCAGCGTCACACAAATGGTATCTACAGCAATGTTGCTGGCCAGCCACTTGGCGGTGAAGAGGTCGTTGACATGGCACTCCATGTCCAAGAAGGCCTCCTCCAAGAGGTAGCTGGCGGCGTGAGCCCGGATTCGCTGGAACGTGGCCAGCAGGCGCTCAAAATCCTCGTAGTGCTCCGTGCGCGACTTTGGCCAGTACAGCTGTTTCATCTGCTGAGCCAACTCTACCATTTGCTGGCTGTTGTTAACGATGGTGATGATGTAGTGAGTGAAGTACTTAATCTGGTCCCGATTGCGGAAATGGTGCTCCTTCAGCTCGATCACGTTTTTCAGGTAAGTCTGGCCAAAGATCTCCACCTGCTGGATACTCATCACCAGCGCCTTGAAAGTCAGCTCCTGGTGAATGGTGTTGGTAACTTGCAGATGCTGATCGATCATTTGGAATATGATAACTGGCGCTGAAGTGTGGTAGTAATCATCATCCTGATCGGGTAACGTCTCTGTGAACCACTCCTGCTTCTCCGTTTCAGCGGCCTTGGTCATCCATTCCTGGAAGTTGCGCTGCATATTCTGGAGGTATTCATCCTCCAGCGCCTTGAGATGCTGTGGCTGCAGCAGAGTTCCAATCAGTCGATGCACATCCACGTTAAGATCGGGGTGGGACATCAATTCCACGCCCGGATAGGTATGTGTCACCCAGGCCATCATTGACACATACTCGTTGCCTTCCAGACCAGAGCGTACAATGTTGTCCAACTAAAAAAAAAATTATCTTTGATTATGAATTTCTTTTTAAATTTCGACTGGGTACTCGCATAGCTAGATAGTCCCTCGTGATAGAACTTGACGTACTCCCCGAATATATCGTAGTGCGGCGGGAAGCAGGGCACGCACAAAGACTTCACCACGCGTAAATCCTCGAGGATGATTTGGCGCAGGATCTCCAGGTCGCGCACCAGCCACATTTTGTTGTCCTCTCGCTCCTCCAGCTTGGAGCCTTCGATGCGAGTGACCACCGACTGCTGCAGCACGTCCATTATCATGCGGCGCCAAGCCTTTGGTCTTCCGGGCGGCAGGAATCCAGTGACCTTCTGCTGCTGCAGGGCGAACTGGTCGTTCTTCTCCTCCCGCTCTATAATGCGAAGGGCGGTTACTATAATCGTGGGCTTCTTGCGCAGAGTGTTTAGCGTGCGGCTGAGGATCAGGCGCAGCTTCTTCTCTAGTTCCTGGGACACGGTGTCCACCTTCTCGAAGTGGCGCTTCAGTGTGATCTTGTCGGAGGCGTGCTGCTTCGGCTGTTTGTGCAGCTCGTAGAGGAGATCATCGCGAGAGTTCTCCAGATCCGCCAGGCACTGGTGGGCATTGAGCAGCTTGTCGTCCTCGATCAGAATCATCGTCTTTTGGACGCTTGCGTCCACGTTAAAGATGTGCTTCAGGTTCTCCATGGCGGTGGCATACTGCGAGTGCTTCGTGTTCTCCTCCCGGACAACTTCCAGTGCGTCATAGACCTCGGGCACTCCCTGCAGCAGGCGCTCCACCTCGTCCATTCGGCGCCTCACTTCACGCACGTCCTGCATGCAAGTCTCCAGTTGCTTGAGGCCCACTCTGACCCCGTCCAGTTGGCCCTGCATCCCGGTCTTGAGGAGCGCCTCCACGGACGCCTTCTTCCGGGCGATGCGGTGACGGTACTGCTCAACCTTTTCCAGTTGTCCCGGTCGCTGCAGCATGTTCTGTATATCCTTGAGCGCCGCCTGGCGCGCCTGCTCTTCCAGCTGCTGCAGATCCATTTTTACTTAATTTAATTCGCTATACGCTTTTCTGTTTTTGTTTTCCAATCTTCGCCAGCAATGGAAGTAAAATAGTGTGACTGAAGTGAATTCTGGTGAAATGAACAGTTCTCTTATCAAGTAGCTACAGTGCAGCCTAGAAAACTGAAAGTGACATCCAGCAATTTGCAGTAAAAGTAATAACTGCATGTTTATTTATTTAGTGTAAAACTATAGGCAAAATATGCAATTAGTTACTAAATAAGTTATTTATTTGTATTCCAAAAAACGATTTTTATTGACTTAAAACTTTGCGTTCTAAATTTTTTTATCGAGGTTCCAGTGTAGCTATCGATAAATACTTTTCGTGTTGGCCTATCGCCATCGAGAGCTTTGTTTATTATTTGCTGCCCAAACGTAAACAACGCCCCCGCAAAACATGAGTGTAGAAAAAGAGATGATTTTGCAATTTGCACCATGGGAGTCCTTTGTGTCGCCCACTTTTTGGCACAAGCTGGCGGAGATTAAGCTTGACCTAGATCGCCTGTCCGACTCGAAGCGTTCCATTACTGGTCACTATACCAACCGAAATGCCAGTGCATGCCTCCTGGAAGTGGACTACACGGCCTACAACAGGTAAGTTGTAACAGGTGTAGTTGATCGAACCATTATCGCTTATACACCCGCATTTTAGGACAGCACAGCCACCGAAATTCAGCCATTCTGCCATCGGCACCATTTACAACAAGAACACAATCGAAGAGTTCAAGGCCCTGGACAAATTACACCTGCTGGCCGATGAGGGCAAGGAACTGCTGGCTGATATGTGCAGTGGTGGGGTCTTGAGGGATCCCAGTCTGTTGACCCGGTTCTTTGTTATCTCCTTCGCCGATTTGAAATGCCACAGCTACTACTATTGGTTTGCCTTTCCCTGCCCACTAACACCCACCTTGAAGCTACGGGGCGCGGTCCAAAAGCTTCGGAATTTACCCAACAGTGATAGTTACATAGAAGCCTTGAAGTCCCTGCCCGCTGAATCGCAAAACTTCTTCATTCTGTATGCCAATAAGGAACAGGAGGTTGTCGAAGCCCGCAATTTAAGTTCTCTGGATGAAAACGATGTAGAACACTACTATTTTGGGTTTGCTGATCCTAGCGAGTATGAGCATCCAGCTTGGTTGATGCGGAACTATGCTGCCTTTCTACTCCAGCAATGGTGGGCTATCACTTTAATTAAATATGGCTTTATAAGCAAATATCTACTTCCCATTACAGCCCCTCTTTTGTTGGCAAAACGCTTAAATTTTTGGGCCTGCGATATAATCAGCAAATGCAGGTGGATGACAGCCGAATCTGGCAGGTGATACAAACTGAAGCCTGTGATCTAAGCCAAGCCGGGGAAGTGAAATTTGTGGGTTGGGAGCTTAATAAAAATGGCAAAATGGGCCCAAGAATGGTCTGCATGAGGGACAGTATGGATCCCGCAAAGTAAGTAAAGCCAAATGATTAGAAATATCATTCGCGATAAGTTTATCTATAGACTTCACTTTCCTTGCTCATTACCGATATATTAATTACACCATGCAGATTGGCTGAGAACTCCGTAAACCTCAATTTAAAACTAATGAAATGGCGATTGGTTCCCGATCTCAACCTGGAAGTTATCTCCCAAACCAAATGTTTACTTTTTGGAGCTGGAACCTTAGGCTGTGCTGTGGCAAGAAATCTGCTGGTGGGTTCGGTTAAATGTATTTCATAGAGCATATTTAAATAATTTTTAATCTTTTAGTCCTGGGGCTTCAAGAACATTACTCTGCTGGACAACGGCAAGGTAGGATTCTCTAATCCAGTGCGTCAGAACCTCTACACCCATGCGGATGCCGTGGCGGGCAATCGGATGAAGGCCACCACAGCAGCCCAGAGACTGCGGGAGATAAATCCTTCTGCGGAAACGGCGGGACATGTGCTGGAGATTCCCATGCCTGGACACACTATTGGGGAATCGCTGCTGGCCCAGACGAGAGAGCATTTGCATGTGATTGAGCAGCAGGTGCAGGACCATGATGTCATATTTCTTCTTACCGATTCTCGCGAGAGCCGTTGGCTGCCTACGCTGCTGGGTGCGGCCAATCAAAAGGTTGGGTTAAAATTATGTCCGCCAAAAGAAATGCAACTTATCTGTGCCCATTCCAGATTGTTATCAATGCAGCCCTTGGTTTTGATAGCTACCTAGTGATGCGACATGGCACCACTCGCGAGGAAGCAGGCGACGTTGGTCAAGAGATTGAGGGACTCAAGTGCATTAATGGCGACCAATTGGGTTGCTACTTCTGCAACGACGTCACGGCCCCAGGAAATGTGAGTTTAAGCTTTTAGTATTTAAGATAGCACATGTATTTTCAGACTTAGGTACTTTGGGTAAACGGTTATTAGACACACTCGTAGTCATGGCGCGAATACTTCTCAAAGCCAGCGCAAGTGGGGTCCCCCGTCTGAAGGTGATCCACACCAGTTATCTGCACCACCAGGCCATTAATACTGGTTACCTTGAAACCCACTAGATTCATCATGGCTTTGGGTGTACGCCATGCATAGCTGAAGAAGTTGTAACCATCCACCGCTGTGAGAACCTCCCGGTCCGTAAAGGCCAGCGCCAGTTTAAACTGCTGGTTAAAGACGAAAGGAAAGCCACCATGGCGCTCCTCGTTTCCGAATCTGCAAAAAAGAATCAGTTATACCTTATAGGATTTCCACATTATTTAGCAAGCTTACTCAAAGTTCTTGTTCATGGAGTTGCGCACTACCGTCTTTTCATCGAAGCGCACACTGAAGTGAAGCTCCTCGCGCTTTGTGTCCGAGTCCATAAACTTGAGGATGAACTGGCCCTTCTTGTTCTCAAAGCAGCGAGCTGTAAGGACGATCACATGGCCAGGACTAAACAAAATCGGCTGGTCGTTACTAAATGCCTTAAAGTAATCCGAGGCGTGAATGGCGGGCCAGGGATTGGGAAACACAGTGCGGTGATCCACCTGCTTGATCACCTGGATCTGATCACGGATCTCCAGAGCACGTAGAGCTCCCAATGGCAAGCGGTAGCGGAACTTGCAGTACTCCCGACTGTTTATGGAGATGGCGAAGCTATCTTCGCAGCACAAGATATATACCAGGAAGAACTCGCCACTAACGATGGGATTGGGCAGCGTGTTGGGGTCCTGGACATGCGTCTCTTCTTCACCCCAGACGCCGCTCACCCGGGTGTTCCTTACAATCACATCATTGCGAAAATAGCAAGAGAAGCGTAGCCCAATGTCTGCGTTCGGATCCACTGTGCTCTTGGCCGTGCAGAGGTTAATGTGGAACCTACCGAAACCGAAGCAATTATAATCAAGGCATTAGTCACGAACTGATAAGGAGTCCCGTTTGACAAGCGATTAGTCAAAAACAAGACGCGGAAAGTTAATAAAATATGTATCTGCGACGCATCTTACCTGGCTGCTCCGTCGATGGTCTTGGCCACGACCTCCAGAACATGTCCGAACTCCAGCGGATGCGAAAGATTGCCAGCGAATTCGGTCAACATGGTTCCTTTCTGTTTTCACTAGCAATTACCAGTCGAACTAGCTATCGCCTTGGCACTGAACGCACACAAAATGTATTTTTTAGGGTCGTGGGAGAGTCCGGAGTTCTCCGGCTCTCCCGCTCGCCGGAACCTTATCTAATCAGCGGTGGGTAGAGCTGCGGGTTACTTAAGTAATCGATGGAACTGCGAAAGTTACAATACTTTGGGTTAGGAGTGTAGGCGCAACTGTTTGTTTTGTTCTCGCCCAGAGGCGTCATTTCATTCCATTTGTTCGGAGCATGTGTTTGTTGACAGTGAAAAGCTTCCAAAAGCTTTCAATCTTCTCACTGCATTGGTGGCGAAGCTCTACCAGATCACGTAGAACAAATGCTGATATATCTTAAGTTTGATCTGGTCCATATATGTACTTTCTTTTTCGATCAAATTTATAAAAAATTATTAATGCATGATATAATTTTTAAGATAGCAAACAATCGTAAATTAAACATTTTTCACGTTGTTCATAACTAAATTACGCAATTTTGTATAGTTTTCAAAAAGCATTTCTATTAAAATGCTTTTCGAAACATTCTTCATGTACCAAAAACAATATATATACTACAAATAAAGTAATTTAATTTAACCCAAAAAAGTCTATAACTACATATATTAAAAATTTGGTTTAGAAAGTTATTAAATATGGTCAAAAATGATCTTATTTTTCAGTCCCTTAAAGATCGCACGTTGGATCAGCAGTGCACCGTGACTCGACCTGGAGTATCCAACATTGCCGCCAGTTATGCAGTGGAGTTGCTGGTAGCCCTTCTCCAACATCCTCGAAGAGAACTGGCGCCAGCCTACTACGCCCAGAGTGGGCGTGGCAAATCGGAGGAGGCTGCAGGCAAGGTGCCGGAGGGTCTACTGGGCATCCTGCCCCACTCGATCCGGGGAATGCTGTGCAACTTTGAAAATATTCTGCCCGCTACCCAAAAATTTGCTCAATGCATCGCGTGCTCAGCGGTAAGAACTTAAAAACCCCAAATATAATATAGACGCTAAGTAAATCAATACTTTACTATTTAATTACAGGCCGTTTTGAATGCATATAAAAAAGAGGGACATGCCTTCCTCCTAAAAACTTTCGAAACAGCAAAATATTTGGAGGATTTGACAGGAATCTCCGAGTTCAAGCGGTTAAACAGCGAGGTTTGTGGCATCAATATTAAACTTAAATAAAACAATTTATAATTTTCTTTTTATTTTGTCTAGATAATCGATTTTGATGATGACGAATTCGATATGTCGGAGGAGGATGAAGATTAGCCTGCATTTTGCGTATGAAGTGAAATGGGGTTCACCTTATTGAGGCTTCAAGTTTGAATTTCCCCTGAATTTATTATGTGGGCTTATAAAGCATTTAGAGTTCAATGTCTAAACCAAAAATGTTTGTGTATCGATATTTTCATGTATTTATCTAGTCATTAAGGAAATTGTGAATCAATCAAATAATGGAAAAATGTATTTTAAGCCAAAACTGTGTATTTTTCCTTGAAGAACTAAATAAAATATACACATCAGATTGAGTTGGTCTATCAATTATTAAAATAACATAAGTATGAAATTGAATATTGGAGCATACGTATTTATTTCCGTTAAATTACAAGTCGCCGCCTTTGGCCCCTGTTGTTTGTATAATAAGTGTTCCTGCTGATAAGAATATTCATTCAAACGCGCAAATATTGTTCTGATTTGAGAAATCCCACATTAATGGTTGACAAATAAGAAAATATTGTTTTTGATTCCCCTACGGTCAATGATTTTGTTATTAGCTGCATTTTTTAAGGCGAAAATACGAAAACAACGGTGAATGTTTGTTCCAAATTGTTTTGGGAATATGTAAATGATTTACATAGGTATGCAAAAAGAACAGTTCAAAGTTGAATAAACCTGGTTAGAAAGCCACGAACTGATGGCTTATGTTAATTAGGAGGTGCTCGATGTCGTAAAAATAGCAGACATTCTTTGAGATACACTTATGATTATTATGACCCAAAAATGTATTCAAAAAATATGCGAAAAAATTTGTTACTAAAAAAGTATTGTTACCTAAAAAAGTATTTTTGAAAAACAATAATAAGATAATAAGACTATGCAGATTTTTATTTTAATAACGAAAAATGTGAATGTTTTTCCACTCAATATAATCAAAATTGTGTCGCGCCAAGTGTTTCGAGCTAAATAAATATTGGCAACAAGTACTTGACATACAATTCAATTTAAGCAATTGTTGAAAACCTTTCATCATTTGACCCCAGGCCAAAATTCGGCTAGAGAATTCCACCGAGTGGCTATAACAAAAGGCTGTCGGCCATTTCTTTTAGCCAAAAACGCAAATAAGCAAGAAGATCGGTCGAGGGAAAAAAAAACGGCACGTCTCCATAATTAATAGTTGGGCCGGGGGAGAAATGTATTGAAATATCTGGCCGCTCAACCTCGGATCGACATGGTAGCATAAATTTCGGGCCTGGCCAACTGATCAAACAACAACAAGCCAAGTTAGGTCGAGTGAAACCGCTTTGCGTTTGAGTTTTGGCTCGCGGCGGCGAAAAGCGCTCAAAATGCCATTCGAGCTGCGATGCCTCTGCTGGCGTCGTTTTTGTCACTCGAATTGCGTTTTGAGTCGAAAACGGGGCTTTGCTGGCCAAGATCTCCATAAATTGGTGAAAGATACCCAAAACAGGCACACAAACCCGGCGGCGCGCATCCAAGTGGCAACTACCCAGTGAAAATTCGTAAAAAGTGCAAGTCGAAGTCCTGAAATCAAAAGTTTTACTCAAAAAGTGAATTTTAAATTTTAAACAAACTTATTAAGTTTCCAAAGCAAAGTTAAAACTTTATCAAATCAGACAAAATGGTAAGTCCTTTATCCTTAAAGTCCCTTCAAATCACTTTCCTTTCTTAAATAGTTTAAAAATTTCGTTGCAATCTTCAGTTTATTGAACTGCTTCGAAAATCGCCTCCGGCTTTCCACCAATTTTCCAAATTGTTTGTTCGCTTAATATTGACGCAAATGGCAGTTCGCAGCTTTTAGTTTTTGCTTTGACTTTGCTATTGGCCTTAACCTGTTGCGAAAGTTGGCTGCCAAGCTGGCAGTTTTATGCTTTTTAGCCATTGCAAAACATTTTTCAAACACCAAAATGAAATACCTTCATGTGGCATTAGGGGAAAAATATTTAATAACAGGGCATGTCGTAAAAAAAGTTATTACTTTTAGACCAAGTTCACTTGCTGACATTGCAGCCAAGATGGAAAGTGTTTTCTTTAACAATAATTTCACTTAAAGTTACATAAGGCATTTTTGGAGGTTTATTCAAGTCAACAGTTTCAAGTCAAGTAAAACAATGAAAGAACCTTTGTTTATTTAGTTGTTTTTTATGGAGAAAGTAAGGTCACTGTTAGTCACTTTGAACTTCCTGAATCACAAAGAAACCTCAAATGCATTGTCACATCACTTAAGTGATATTCACATATGAGAAATGGCAGGCAATTAAAATTAGTCTGTAACAAACCTGAAAGTAGGCAATGTGTTTAAATATAATATTGCAACTTAAAGTATCTCCATCTTTTGTGGATTATCGTTGATTGGTGAACTTTGCCAAGAATTTAAATATATTTGCACCTCAGGGAATATCCCAGAACATTCAGGCTTATTAAAAAAAACTCCCAGTTTAGATTGATGGACCTATAGATCTCCATGAAAAATAGCCTCGGTCGGATTTTTTAAAATGCGTCAGCAACCAGATTCAACCAGCTTTTGGTGTCCATGGCTTTATCGCCAAACATTTAGACACCAGTATATAATATAAATTTGTTTTTTATTCGTCAAGAGATCCCATTAGAGCGCCATTAACCTCTTGTCCAGAATTTCAGGAGCATCTGTTGAGCCCTCCTGGCAACATTCGATCTATCTATATAGACACATGTATTTATGTATATAACACAGGGTATTGGCAAAATCTACTATTGATAAGGGGCTGGGCGATAATCGGCGGCGACTTCTTGTTTTTTTGTTATTGCTTCGGACTTGCGCCTCCGACTTACGTCCGATCTGAGTAGATTATATAGCCGGAGCAGGAGAGCAAAATCCCCAGAAATCAGGGTGTCTGTTCAGTTGAATTTTGCAATCCGAGGTGGAGCGTGTGCGATTACTGGAAACAAATCAATTTTTTTAAACCGCATCCAATCGGCACATATAGCTATCTCCAGCGATCATCGACTTTATAACGTAATTCATTTAAATCAATTGAGAATTGAACTCTATAGACTATATAGGTAGTTTTCCACGCCCTTCAGCTTTAACTGATGCACCACTGTTTTATTTTAAATCATAGGTCAATCAGAGCAAGCCCAAAATGGCCCTGTCCAAGATCGACTCCGAGATAGAGCAGGTTGACCAGGAGAAGTACCTGCGCCAGGCCACCAGCTATTATCAGGCGCTGGAGAAGCCCCTTAAGTATGGACCCGCGGTGGATACCCTGACTGACTTGGTGGCTGCCCTTCACCGGGAGTTCGAGTCCAACTACGTCAACATCGAGATGGTCAATCACCTGATGCTCACCTACAAGTCGAATCCCCGGGAGTGGCGCAAGTACGCCAAGTTCGATCGTTATAGCTACACCCGGAATTTGGTGGATGCTGGAAATGGAAAGTTTAATCTGCTGATCCTGTGCTGGGGCGAAGGACACGGCTCCTCGGTGCATGACCATGCCGATTCCCACTGCTTCATGAAGATGCTGAAGGGTGATCTGCGCGAGAAGCGCTATGAGTACCCCAACAGATCCGGCAAGGACACCAGCCGATCCCATCATCCCGATGGCGAGATCGATAGCCGAGAGCTGGTGGAGATCGGTGAGACACCAATTGCCGTCAACGATGTGGCCTACATAAACGGTGAGGAAATTGGAAATTACAAAAAGGGGGATTTCGTGTACTTATTGGATATGTTTTTGAATTTTCTACAGACAACTTGGGCCTGCATCGCGTGGAGAATCCCAGCCACTCGGACACCTCCGTCTCCCTGCACCTCTACTGTCCGCCCTTCGACACGTGCTCCGTGTTCCAGGACAACCTGAAGAAGACCACCGCCAAGGTCACTTTCTGGAGCAAGTACGGCGTAAGGACGAAGCAGAACGAGCAGTAGATCCAGCCAGATCCCCAAATACAGTTACTCGTATTGTTGCATATTACTAAGAATCTTTATTACTAGATATTTAATGAGCTAGGGCCCAAGAAGATCCGGGAGCTTAAAGTTCAAACAAGAAAAGTAAGGCACACGTGGACGCTGATAAGCCCTCCTCCGATAAGCCATCCCCGGATCACAGTTTCCTTTAGTGTATCTTTAGTGTTAGCTGTACCAAAAATATTCAATAAATAGATATATCATTGTCAACTTCTCGACTGGCGTGTTTTTTATGCAAATCTATCCTGCGAACGTAGCTCTCTTAAAGGTCCAGTCCGCGATCCCTTCCAGGTCTCTTGGGGGGACCCCTTTCCAGGGTCTGCTTGATCGACTTGAGCAGTCCCGGAATCAGGTTTATATGCTTGTCCACACAGTTGCCCGAGCAGCTCTCAAACATGTGCTGGGATCGGGACATGTCCCGGTCACTGGGATTGCTAGGCAGGCGGGAGCGGGCATCGCTGTTGCAATCCTGTGGAATAACAACCGAATTAGAGGGGAAAGGATGGGTAGTAATGGAATCCGAAGATGGTAGTAATATTGCAATTTAACCATAGTCTTGTAATTTATTCTAGATATTTAGAATTTAGAAGATATTTAAGGTGGTCGCAGTCCCTGATCTGTAGTAAATAATTTAATCGTAATATGAGTTTTTATATATTGTTACCTTTTGAAAAACAAAAAAAAAACGTAAGAAAAAAGAGTGTAAAAAAAATGTAAAAGATTTCGGGACATGTAACAAAAGCTTAATACGATCCTAAACATTTTAAATTAGTTTTAATAATTTATTTCATGATATACATACATATACCTATAGAGCTTCGGATAAAGAAATTGAACAAACTAATCACAAAAAATAATAAAAAAACATGCTTAAATCAATCCAACAATTGTACATCTTCTTTTCTTACATAGAAAAAAAATATAATTTTTACTAAATATCTTACCACAAAATTATATATTTTTATTAAATAATAAAATGTAGGTTTTGCAACATATTAAATAGACAGCAATGGAAAATGGGTATTCTTTAGCAACACATGACTGATTCTGCATGCAAAATTTTAAAAATAACCAAAAGGTCATGCTAAACTATCAGTCTAAAAACTAGCAAGTCTACTTTGCCGTAGATTAAGATAAAATTTACTTCGTTGTTAAGAACCCTTTCTAGTGGTTTCTGATCAAAACTATAATACTGTACGTATGGACTTAATGGCTTAATTAAAAGACCTATCCTACCCTGACGCAGTTCTGGAGGCGGTTCTGAAACTGGCCCAGCTCGTGCTGCAGGTAATCCTGGGCATCCATCAGTGGCCCGGCGCACTTCTCGATGCAGTTCTGCACGCTCGTCAGTGTCCCGCGCTCATCATCGCAGCAACGGGCGGCACAGCGGTGCATCGTCGACTTGGGATCGTCAGGAAATTATCATCCTTAGCTGGAGTTCACCTGACACATTAGAGACAACACTCACCTGCATCCTGCGCAAGTGGGTGCGGTACATGTCCTCTATCATGTCGCTGATGGCGTCTTCCAAACGCTTTTTCTGTTGCTCCACCATTGTTCTATTCGGAATTTAAACAATTTTGAAATGAACAACTAAATTTTGCTATGACAGTTTTCGGTGTACAAAGTATGTGTGTTTTTTATTTAATGATGGCAAAATTTGACATGATTCCAGTCCAGAGATTGTTCACACTACATTTGATCGGTACATAAGACTTTATACAGCTAATAAGGTAATTTTTGTTTAAAATTCTTAATTCCGTTAGCAAAATGTTGAACAACTCCAGAGGAGGTAAATATTGCACGGTTTTAAGATTAACAAGTACAATAACTAATTGGGTAATAAATGCAGACTGACTTAGACTTGGGGAATGCTCTCGGGACCTTTCGAGAGCACTGCCTTCATGGTCTTCATCATCCCGGGGATCAGACCCACGTGCTTGTCCACGCACTGGATCGCACAACGCTCGAACTGGTCGGTGTACTTGGCTATCTGATCCTCGTTGGGATTGGGCGGCATTTTCACCTTCACATCGTCGTTGCATTGCTGCGAATGAGAAATAAACGAGTTATATGCAGTTGGTATACATATGCTTACAAATTGTAATAGTTCCAAAGCAAGCCTCCTCTTCTTTTAAATTGTATAATCATCTACTTTTGTTCTAAGCTCTAAACCACATTAGTAGTATAAATTGTACAGAATTTTAGGCTTAAAAATATTCCTTACTTACTAAAAAAATTCATCAGACTTTTATAAAAGGACTTGACTAATTTAGAATTAAATGCTTTTTGGATATAAAAATCGGGTTTCGACAAACTGCTCTTGCTAAATATATAGCGGCCATCAGCACTAAATTATATGGAGAATCCTTTTAGCTGTTTTAAAACTCCAGAAAGCATTCAACAGGTTGATGAAATTGGTACTGACCATGACGCAACGCTGAAGTCTGCCCTGGAACTCCCCCAGCTCGTGCTGGACGTAGTTCTGAGCCCTCGTCATGGGCGTGGAGCAGCGGTCCACACATCTCTGAACACTGTCTACGCTGGAGGTTCCATCCTGGCAGCACTTGGCCGCGCACAAATGCATCTCGTTCTGCGATTGGACAAAAAGCATGTTAATTTCAGGATGTTTTACCAAGAAGACTCCACTTACCTGCATTTTGCGCAGGTGCGTCTTGTCCATGTCGTCGATCATCTCGGTCACTGCGGCCTCAATTCTCTGGCGCTGTTGCTGGATCATATTGCTAGTTTTTAATTGTTAATTGCGATCGCTACTGCCGATTTCGTAATATCAAAATAAATGCCGGCAGCGTGTTTTTTGTAATTAGTGATGTGCCGGCCCAGCTGTGGTTAATCGATATGCGGCTTATCGAAACAGCTCTTCTTCTTTGGTTTTCCAATTGGATTGGATTTTCTTGTGGATAAAAATATTAAATTAAAACTATGTCGCTGCTGCAAAAACTCAGCAGATCCGGGATCCAGGTGGCTTCCTTAAGCTCCCGCCACAAGATGCCGGTAGCCATCCGATTGATTAGCGGGGAAACGGAAAAAGCAGCGGATGGAGCTACTCCCGCAGAGAATCCGGCGGAGATTGGCGGCAGCAAGGGAGGATTTGCCCGTGCCTTCGACAAGTACACGGCTCCGGCCGCACCCCTTCAGCCGGAGGAGGACAACCAGACCTTCGCCTCTCTGCTGCGGAATTCAAAGTTGGTAGATGTAAGTTAAATCCATGTATTCCCCTTGTTTATGTAATAACCTTTTCATTTCTGGATCAGTTGGGCAGCGCCGAGGGAAAGGTGGTAAGTGGAAAGATCTTCCATGTGGTGGGCGATGATCTCTACATCGACTTTGGCTGGAAGTTCCACTGCGTCTGCAGTCGTCCACCTCGCAATGCTAGGTGAGTCCACGGAATCTTCTTATCCTCTACATATAATATATCAATTTCTATCCTTAGTGACTATGTTCGAGGAGCCCGCGTTCGGCTGCGCATCAAGGACCTGGAGCTGTCCACCAAGTTTTTGGGCTCTTCCAAGGACATCACCATCCTGGAGGCCGATTGCCACCTGCTGGGTCTTATTTCCTCGCCCACCCGCCAATCGACGGCCAGAACAACTCCCAAAATCGAAGATATCTTATAAATCCTTTATTAAACCAAGGTTTGTTAAACGTTACGTCAAGTCTTTGTCCTCGTTGGTGGTGAACTGAAACACCTCGTAGTGATGGTTGAGTTCCCGCACCGAGTGCAGCTGGAATCTCGTGGCCAGAGCTCCATTCTCCGAGTTTCGAAGAAAGAACACCCTTTTCGCTCTACTGTGAACCAGGGCCATGGAGCACATGAGGCAGGGTTCCTGCAGCAGATAGACATCGTAACCGGTGCATAGATAGGGTCCGAATTTGGCCAGGTTGTCTGCTCCTTGAACTTGCTCTACTTCTTTACTTTCTCTGGATTTCTCCGCTCCGAATGTCAGGTCTTTGTAATCCTCATCTTTCCTCAGGTAATCGTAGTAGGCTCTGGGTATGCCCCGCAGTGTGGTTTCCTTCTCCTCCGAATCCTCGGTGAATGTGAGCTCTGTTTTTGTGGCGCCTCCTTCTTGACTTCTGGCCACAAAATCCACTAGCAACATGCCGCAATGTTCGTGGGGGCTAGGGGATTCTCTGGCTCCTGCGATGGATACTATGCTCGGTTGTCGTGGATCCACGCAGATGCCCACTGGCCGACCGGCATTCACATCCCGGGAGAGCCTCACCAAAAGCTGGGCTATCCGCTTGTGGAAGATGCGTTGTTCTGAGCTGAAGTTAGTGCCATTTCGCAGGGATTCCGAGTAGTGATTTGGGTGGAACTTGCAGGGCCAGTGCTGGGTGGTCTTCTCGTACTGCACTCGCAACCGGGGCATCCGTTCCGGCACTTCCACTACACGAACTCCATGGCACAAAGCACGGAGCACGTGCTCCGAGAAGGCGAACTGTTCGAGGTGTTGCTCTAGGGTATTAGAAACGTCGATTTCCGAGCTGGGACAGATAAGGACACTGCGATCCTGGACGCGCTTCAGGTGCTGGAAGTGGGGCAGTTTCTGGGAGAGCTCCTGGATGACCGCCTGCAGCTGTTGCTTTGTCTCCAACTGGCAACTGTGCGCTTTGATAAGTGCTATGTCCTCGTCGAATTCTTCGGACAGGATGGCTTGGATTCCAGTGATGTCCTGTTCCAGTATGGGCGACTTCCGGGCACGCTTATTCGGCGGTGGATCGGCTATATCCATTATTTATATGATTCTTCGGTCCGGTCAGTTGGATGCTAATTGGAAACCATAGTCTATCGAGGTCTATATGTTCTATCGATAAGTGCATAGTTCCCAGCTCGCAAACAGCTGATTTTGATTTGAGCGGCAAATTTGAAAATACGTGGATTTTTCACTCAAAGTAAATAATGGAGAAAAATTTAACACTAGGAAACTACTAGCATAATTAATTGTTACTTGTTTTTGATGTCAACATGTAGCACAGTGGTCGTTTCGAAAACCAAACCCCAGTTCAAAATTCTAGTGAATAATGTGCTTATAATTCCTAGTCAAACGACGGGCGAAATCGAAATGTGTCTGCGTTTGTTTTTTGGCTTCACGTCGCTTTACCTCGGCTGCATCTTCATCGGGCTTTCGGGGATAGTTTTCGCCGTGGTGATCTTTTCTGTGGGTCTGTTCGAGCTTATCATGGGCAACCCCGAATTACTGCTCGTGATCTTGGCAATGGTTTTTGGCTTCGTCTATGCCGTGGCCAAATTATTCCTGCTTTTCGGCACGATGTGGGTGAGTTCGTGTTCGATATTTGAGCCTTTTATCTATTTGCAACGATCCCAACCCGCAGGACATGTGCTGGGCCCTGCTCTTATCCTTCTTGATCGGTCTGGTGAGCTTAGCTCTTCTCGTCGGGTTGGTCGTGTTGTTTTACCTCGTCCATATGAACACACTGCACCTCCTGCTGGGCGCGACAATGTGCTTAAGTGAGTTGGTTTCAAAATCTCGGATTTCGGATTTCTACGTTCGCCATAACTTTAACTTTAGTTTTATTAAATCGATGTTTTTTTATGATCTTTGGTTTAGAATCTAGTAATCTTAGTAGTAACTTGCTAATATTTCAGAAACTATGAGATCGAACACACCTTCAAACTATAAAATTCAAAAGTCTTCATAGTTTGTTTGACTTATAACTATTTTTCTGCAAATTAGGTTTTTATTTTAAAACCTCCTAAATTTGGATAATGATTTCATTTCGAAATGAGGTCTTTTTATTCATAAGGAAACTGTATTTGACATTTTTCTTAAATCGATATGTACATTTTTTTATTTTTAAATCCTTACATATTAAAATAATATTTTATTTCTTACCCAGTCGAATTGTACTACGAGTGGATCATCATCTCCACTTGGTGGTGCTGTCGGAGTTGCATGCACGACTGCTAGGAGTTGCAGTTGTATTCAAGATCTTGCCTGCAACTCGAACTTGTTGCAGCTCAACGTCTTGGGATCTTTGCGTCGGTTGTAATAATGTGAACAGCCGAGTTAAGAGAGGAGAGGTACTGCCGAAGAGAACTTGGATCCAAAGTGAGTTGGGGTCTTTCGGCATTGAGTGTCTTTAGTCAAGTCAGTTCGATCTGAGACGCGCGCTGGAGTGGAGCGATCGAGCTGCCGCAGCGAATGAGCGTGTGTGTGACTGTGTACGGCCCCCAACCCGTCGATAGAGAAATAAGAGATATATCTGGAAAAATTAATATCTGAAAATACACAAGTGTATCTGCATGTGCAGCCGTATCTGTGAGACGAGAGTGTTTTTTATTTGCCGCAATTAGAAGTAACGGAACGGTGCGAAGGTGATTTGCACGGGAGAAACTGGAAAATCAGCGAGGCGCGAGATACTTGTATCTGCAATTAGTGAGTTTTCGTTTTGTTTTCGTTTCGCAAACAACAAGTGAAGAGCCATTACTTTAATTCAATCAACGATCCAACGTTTCTGTGGCCCACAATTTTTATTCTAAGCCCGAAATAAAAGTAATAAAACCCACAATTACTGAGATAAAAGTTCGAGCCGGTTTAGTCATCATCCGAAAGTTCCGAGAACTGAGCGCAACTTTTGAGATACATTCGCGATCTCATTCTCATTCGCAATCGTTATTGGCCAACAGCTGTTACTGTTGGCCAGAATGCCTCCGTACCTGCTGGATATTTGCTCTAACCTGGAGCTTCGCAGACCGCGATAAGATATCGGCGACTAGTGGTGAATAAAGCCAGATACCAGTACTCGTAGCTGCGAAAAAATACACGACAAATAAACGGAAAAGAAAATCGCACAGTTCGGTGCCAGTGTTTAAAGTTAAATCGCGCGCTTATCTTATCAGCTGGCCATTGATTGAGCTTTGCCTTTCCGCTCCGCGCAGGGTGAAGTCATTTGGCCACAATTCGCCCGTTTTAGATACTGTATCTCCCCCGTCCATATCTAATGCAGCAGCCAAGGCAGTCGCGATAATAGCAACCTCCTTCAGTGTCAGTTGCTCTGCAAGCGTTGTCTAAATTTAGAGGAAACCAGAAGCGCCCAGCCCAGGAAAGGCCAGGCCAAAACTAAACAAGACGCACTCGTAAATCAGGCAGCCCAGCCGGAGAAGACCAAGATGGACATAGAATCCGATTCGGACACCTCGGAGAGATGGGAGGACTTTTTTGGTAAGCGGGCGGGATCACTGAACTCTTGCGTGCAGAAATGACATGACTCAACGGGGAGGGAAGTTGCACAGAGGGAAATACAATTATCAACTTAATTTTCACAGAAAAAGTAATTTAGTGAATATTGAACTACTAAAATAGTTTTTAAATTTATATTTTTATTGATTTTAAAATTTATATTGAGGAGAACAATCATAAAGGATTCATCAAAAACTATTTGCATCTATTACCAAAACTTCATTTGTATTAAAAAAAGGGGTTTTTGAAAAATGACTGATTATTTACAAAAGTCAAGAAAATTGGATTCACAAAACATGGATTATATCGAATGTAAATACATTTATTACGAGTCTTACATTTTTTTTTAAATTTTGAAAAACATTATTTGTAATACGATACAATTAGGCTGGGTTTCTCAGCAAGTGTCTTAAGGGGGTATGTGGACATATATGGATATTATTCAACCCAAACTCTCAGGACCAGAATTTATTAAAACAAAAACCGATCTTATATTTTTTGCGGTGTGGCGACTCTACGCATTCTCCAAGAACTCCGAATATGGACATGCGTTCAAGAACAGACCATCAAGCTGGCTTTCTTTGGCTCGCTTGGATGGGATGGGATGGGGCCATTGCATTCGGTGGCTCGGCGGATTCGTTCCGTTCCCATAACTGTACAAAAAGGGGGGAAAAATAAAAAAACAACCCACTGAGTGGTGGCATTGCGTGAATTGCGGTGTAACGGGTTCGCTTTGTTTTTGCATTCCGCTTTGCGCAGTCCGAATTTTTTCGACATTATTTAAGCGCTCGAAAAGTCGGTTGTAATGAAATTTAATGATAATACATAATTTCGGGCTTTTTGACCCACATTACCATACAAGTGTGGCCAAGAAAAGGTCTGTCTTGAGATTTGCAATTTATGTTTTGGGTGGTGGCTGCCAACGGTTTGCTGACCCACTTAATTTGTAACGCCGATTCGCTTGGGGCAGCCACATGCTGCATTTGTTTTCCTTCTGGCTGAAAGCTTTCATTCAATTAGTGTATTAGTCATAAGTTTTTTCTGTGTGTGTCTTTTGTTGACTTTCTTTATTATTATTACACGCTCGCTAACAGCGGATGTTAGATAACGCTGCCCTTAGCACAAAAACGATCGGGGCTCTGTTAGTTAACCCCTGGTTACCATACAGAATATATTCTAAATTTACTAGAATTCTTAAAGAAAAATCATTGAAAATGGTAAAATGTATAACCAAATATTTTTGTTGTGTGTACAATGTTTTAATGTTGTTAATATCCGATAGCTGATGCAACATAAATATATGGTAAAACCCATTAAAATATAAACACCCCATCCTATAAACAAAATCGTAGTATTAATCATTTTTATTTTTATTTTATTTACTTAAAATATAAAACATGTTTTTGTGGTTGACTATTCTTAACGAAACTATGAAATTTAAGATTAGTCAGCATTATTGAAATTGTTAAAAACCAACAATTGATAATTTAACTTCATGAACTAACTGAAACCGTAGTTTTAAAAACACTAAAAATGGGTATTTCAATGGGTTAAAAAGTCGCATATGATTGATAACGGGCACAGGGAATCCAGCCAGTGGCCTTTGTTATATCAATTATATACTTATGAGTAGGCCCAATGAATCATGTTGGAGAATCGGTTGGCAAAAGGGGTATTTATGGGCTTGTTGTACTAATCCCACCAGCTTAGAAGGCGAATCCGCAGTAGGCCCGAACAGATAGACACTTGTGCAAGTGGCTGACATTTAGTTGGGCCACCAAACGTGACTCCAGCTGTGGACTGCATGTCCGGGGCATTACCGATTGCATCGACCTATAAATAGAACCCGCCGAAAGATATCGCCAGCAGTTGACCGCATGCACTATCAAATGTCACCAGCCCGCTCTTCTTATTTTGCCCTTTCCGCCTGTCTTACTATTTGTTTGCCTCTTCAACTGGCTGACAAACAAACAAAACGGAGAATATGAAATTTTCGTCTTCGTCGTCGTCGTCGTCTTCGTGGACACAAGTGTATGGCCAAGGGGGCGGGGTCCAGGTCAAGTCTTTGAATTACCTCTTGTAACCACAAACACCACGGGAGTCTGTACATTCGATATTGTTAAAGATTGTCATCTGAGGAAACCTTTTTGGGCTCTGCGGTTGGCTTTGCCCCTTTGCCTTCGATTCTCTTGTGACATTTATTTGGCTGGTCTGGCTTTCATATTTGGTTTATTCAGTAAATACTAATAGATATCGATAGTATGGCTAAGGAGCTGATAAGATTCCGCCGCAGGTATTTATTGACTTTCTGATAAAGCCGACAAGGCCAACGGACATGTTTTGGTATGTACGTACATTGTACATATGTGGCTCCCAATTGAAATTCCCCAAAAGTTAAGAGGTCAGTTTTGCAGTGCTCCACTTCCGATTGCCGCAGGGCACAAGGTCTTAATTAAGGCAATTGACGAAGTTCATCTAATTAACCGCCGGCTAGAGTTCGGTTTCATAATCGTTGGGTTCATTGGCCAATTGGATGTTAATGCCATTACCTCACCCAGTCAGTGCTGTCAACTATAGATCACAGGAAATAGTTAAGTCCGGTTTTACAATAAGCGTTTGAGTAGGTAATTTAAAAGAAATTAAAAATATATTATAAATTTGTTAAGTAAAAATTTATAAAAATATAATTTATCAGAATTTCTAAATGTTTTTATCAGATAATTGTCTTTCAGCAGAGCATTTTTACATAGAATATTAATTCCTGCCATACTACTTAAAAAAACATTCCCTTATTTATGGCATAATTTTACAAAAAACTGCAAATAAAATTTAGATTTTCGAGGCACAGTTTCACAATCAAATAGCCAAGTTGGCACCACTGAACCCAGGCTATAAGTCTTGTCCCTCTAATTGCCTGCACCCAGAGTCTGGGATTTTGAAGTTGGAGTTGAAGTTGAAGTTGAAGCTGAAGTCATATCCCAGAACCAGACCAGACCTGAAGTGATCTGTGTGTGGGCTGGCAGTCGGCGTTTGTCTGACGTCTGTGGAAGCCCTCTCATCTCAGCACCACGGAACTCGACTGTTATCTAATTGCATTTCTCTCAGTGCAGCGGCTTTCGTTGTGGGCGTCGCAGAAGGTCGTAAAACCCGAGTATTGTGCACGCACGTCCCGAAAGGTTTTCCTCAATGAAGTTTGGAGAGCCTGTCTAGTCATATACCCTCACCAATGTGGGAGTTGTGGAAGTCGTATAACAAAAGCTAATACATCCTATCATGTAGAAATTCATTATATATCGATTGTAATAAAAAAAACCTAAGTCGTTTAAACTGAACAGCTCATAAAATTCCATTTAAATGATTGTAATCGTTTAGATGTAAATGCATGTAATATGTTTAATTACTCTATCGACATGAGACGTTAAATGAAAGTTTATTGGTAATTGAAAATCATTAAACAGAAATGTAAATATGGTACTAAAGAAAGTCAGAGTGCGGGGCTATTATAAGTAAAGTTATCTTAATTAAACACTCCAAATCGAAATGTTTTTAAAGTTGTATAATATTTTTAAATGAATACCTTAAAAAACAATAGAAAATGTACCCACACATTTCTTACTTGTTGAAAGTTTTATTTTCTGTCTGGAAGACAGTGTAAGGTAATATCTCCTAAAATCAAATTTTGTGAAAGGGTATTTATTTCTGACTGCCTGTCAAGAGCCTGGCACATGTTTCGTTCTTTTTATGCTGCAGTGGGACTTGGGATTTAATGAACGCTTTTGCAACTCGGCATCCATATCCATCCCGCTCACAATTCTATTTGGCAGCGGATTTACAACTTCCTTGCAGCAATGCCATTTGCTTTGCCAATTTACGCCCACCTCGTCCGGATGAGGGGGTGGGATATGCCTATGACATGCACTTAAGCCGCTTAGAACCTACATAGTAGTACTTTATTATATATATATATATTATATACATATATATGTACATATATTCCGATAGGAATTGCACGATACCAGTGATCGTGAGTCATGTTCAAACGAAAAAGAGAGTGACGGCGATCGGGGGAGCTGTGAAATGTTGTGTTATCAACCTTTTGTGTTGTGAATTTCGTTTCTAGTGAAAGTCGTCACTGCACTCGCTCGTGCTCTCTCCCTCTCTCTACCCCCTACCCCTCCCTCTCCCTTTCTCCCGCCCACTTTCCCATTCCATTTCACTGAGCAGGCACGCATGCTCCGATCTTTGGACTCCCCTCTCACTCCCTCCCATGTGCAACGACCTGCAGAGAATCTTTCACGCTTCGCATCACGTCTCCAGCTGTCTTACTTGCTCTTAATGGACGCCCATAAACCCATCCCGCTGACACACTTTCGCTTTCGTCGACTGCAATCGCCGATCGCTGACATAATGTCCACGATTTGCATTAATGCTAAACGATTATTATTTGGAAGATACAGAGAAAGAAATAGGTACATACTTCCCTGATTTTCCGGAAGATTAACCAGTTTTAGGTTTCGAAAGAAAGTGTCATTTCTTAATTCACAGTTAATTGTACCTGTTGCAGTTGATTCTATTATACAAAGTTGAACATGTTTTGTATATAAAACTGCGTTAAAACATAATTTTTATAATATTTCTAAGGTTCCATTTTTTTAAGTACATAAAATATTGTGTTATTTACATATCTGTATGTATGTTTAAAAGTTTTAACATACCAAACGAATGTAATATGCAAATTGTAGTTATTCAAAAATATAAAAAAAATCAAAACATTGTGCATCACAATCAGTTCAGAATAATTTAAGGAAACTATTTTAATTGATTGGTTTTCTTTAATAGGAGCAACATTTTTGTAGTTTTATTCAAATTTAATAGTTCTCTACTTATGGTTTTTTTTTTACAAATGATTGCTAATCAAGCAATGGAAGTTCCCTCCTACTAATTTATATTTGTTTAAATTTTGTTTCTGTGTAGGAGAACAA